CCCTGTAAGGTTTTCTTTGGATGTGATGCTGCGCCGCTCGACTATACTTAGTTATTTCAAAGACTGTGCTTTGTAGAAGCGGGTGAAAAACAAAAAACAAGTAACCAGAAAGTATGGCTCATCATTGAGCATCCATTGAGCGAAGTCCAATAAGCACGCTTCGTTCGAACCTCGGCCTGCTCATCAATGCATCCTTTATATGTAGGTGTTATTCATATAATCGTCGCCTACCACTAGGCGGGTCTTGTCCTGTGCGCTTTCCGGTTCTCCCTTACGCCGTAAGTAGTTATCGTGAATATCGATGTGAGATATATACTTATTTCGAAGAGTGGCGATGCAGCTATGTGGGGAGATTCTGTCTGGCCTCCTTCCGCACTTGACTGCGGGACGGTACTCCGTGTTCAGCGGTCACACGGCTTATGCGCGAGAACGGCGGGAGCAGGAACGCGATCGAAGACAACGCCGGACGGCTGCCTGCAGCAGCACCAGTAGTCTGATGGTGTCTTAGGATGTAAAACTAGCGAGAGAGAGAAGCGAGATCTTCGTGGCTGTTGTGCTGGTGGTGGTTGCGTCCTTTTTTTTCCCTCTGTCTTGTCCCAGGTCTCAACTCCGCCCAGCCATGATGTCCTCCTGTTGGATACGAAAAGAGACGACGGCGTTTGTATCAGTCAAAAGGCGGCCCGACCCGTCCTCTGGGAGATGATATGGGCTAACCGTCGTTTTAGCGAAGCCGTAGGCAGGGCGCAGGGGAAGAAAAGGGCCCTTCTTGGGGGTGTCCTAAAAGCAGGGGGCGAAACAGGTACAAGGCAGAGAAAAGCTGAGCGTGAAACGGAGAGAACAGAGAACAAAAAAAAGAAAGAAAAAAGAGCGACTTTTGAAGCAGAAGTGGTGGGAGAGAAGGCAGCAGAAGCAGCAGAGACTTTCCGTCCGGTCCTCAGTCTGATGGTGGTGATGCCGTCTGCTGGCGCAGGTTGATTGTCGTTTGACGTTGAGGTTTACCACCGAAGGACGAGGAGGACGAAAAGAGAGAACATCATCCACTTTTTCGTCTTGTTACTAGCAAAGGGGCGCACCCCCCGGTCACAGCATCGACATCTGCCTCTACCCGGCACATCCACATCTACGGAGTATATACGGAGCATGGCTTTCTTCCTGCAGCGATGCTGAAGCTGACAGCTCTCTGCTCGTTCTATTTTTACCTGCTGTTTCGGCTGTGGTTGTATATCGCTGGCGATATAGGTGTACTTATACGCCTCCTTCTACGGATCCCCCTTTACATTAGTTACGGGTCACGATGATCGCCCCCCCCTGGTAGCTGCCCGTAGCACAGTGTTCGGAGGATAAGACGAAAGGCCAGAAGAAGCCTTGTCTCTTGTTGCACGGCGTGCGGCTTGTCCTGGGTAACGCCTTGAGCTTTGCTGGCCTTCTTTTTGCCTGTCTTCACCAAGCTGACCGGTCTCGTAGAACTCGTTGCTCCATGGGATTGAGATTATTTATATGGGCAAAAATCCCTGAGTTGTTGGTTGTTCAGGACTGGTTCCTGGCTATGGGCATGGGTTATCCTGCTCGTTCAATGCAAAAGGGGCTCTGTCGGTAGAGTCTGCCATCGACCACCGGACCAAGGGGTATGCATAGGATCTCTGCCCTGCAGGGAATCTCATCGAGCTACGGAGTAAGGCCTTTTATCTTTCCACTCGTTCCCTCCGGTTCAAAGGCTCGAGGGGATTCAACAAGGTTAACATCCCGCCGTTACAACAAGAGGCTGACTATGTTATGGAGCCGCTAAAACTACCTGCCTGACCTGCCTGCCTGACCTGACCTGCTCTGGTCAAGATAACCACACACGCAAGGCCCCTCAAAACGGGATGAGCTCTGTATCCTTACTCTATTACGCATACGTGCCGACTCCAGATTTTATACATACTTTGCCATCGATTAGAATTCGGAAATATATAAGCTCCCTGCTAGGGTTCAACGACGGCATGGGTGACAACGACTGCAGCCCAAGAACGGAGCCAGAAAGCGGATAAGAAGCATGATAAAAACTCTTCAACTATAGCCGTGTACCCATTGTCCAGCCAGCCAGGTCTAGAGAGTTAAGCTGGAATGTTTAATTAAATAATGCGATACCGGCTACTGGTCAATATACTTCGCCTGAGCACCAAACATAGCTACGCTCGGCAGGTACTGGAATGTACTTCTCCCAGCGGCAAAACCAGGCTGATCAAGAAACTTATCCAGAATATTTCCCACCAGAACAGGATTTTATCCAGACAACTAGAAGATCGATCCAGCCAGTCATTTGCATGCGTACAAAGTGTAAGTCACATATCCGCCTGTCGGGCTCTGCCACTTCAGACCCTTTGCTTCTTCGCAGTAGCCGAATGACATCACCTCCTTGTTTACCCGTACCCTCCATCGCCTCTGCTTGCCCGCTAGAAAATTATCCTTTGTATCTCTCTACTATATATTCTCTCCCCTTCTGCTTGTTCTTCTTACTCTTCTTCCCCTCCATTTCTTCGTCAAGGCTACAAGTATCAAAAGTCAATTGGATATTCACGATATAAACACTACAATCTCAGGCATTCTTACCTCTACCAATATCACAATGGGTTGCGGATGCGGATCTGAAAACTGTGGCTGCAGCGGCCCAAAGGACTGTACTTGCTCCAGTGGAAGCTGTAACTGCACTGCCTGCGGCGTAAGGAGCACTGTCCTATATCCAATAAAACCTCATGGCTAATGTGTGTATAAAAATATAGAAATAAGAAGTCCAGGGAGCACCGTGGCATACGGGCTTTTCGAGTGACCCAATATTTTTTATCAATCATCACATTCGTTGTACTTAATATGACTAGCTTTCTGGGCCCTTATCTTGATTCTCCTGTCTACCTACGAGTGAGCCCTTGAGCATTTGGGTCTTCAGGCTTGATCAGTGATTGATATCGTGCCGAGTAGCTGGATGAATAGCTAGGGATAGCCAGTAAGGCACATAAATAATAAACAACTCTCCTTCAAAGCCTCTTCTCTCTTGTAGTTGGCAATGGCCTGGTATTAAATCAAAGATAAAAGGAGGAAAACAGTTCTCGTAAGTAAAGCTAGAGTTATACAATCACATAGAGAAGTCTCTGAATGTAACAAAATATACCTTTTCTAGTCACTACTGATTAAAACGGCCATATCAGTTCTGTTATCTCTTTGCTAGTAACAGGCAGTAGCACAGTATAGTTACAGATACTATAAAGCCTGGGTCTTAAAATAGACTAAAACGAACAAGTCTTGCTATCTTCATGCAGATATATTTCATTTCAGCCCCTAAGGCTTTTCTAGTATGAAAGAAAATATAAAAGAAGCCACGGAAACTAACTATAAACCAAGTCAGCCTGTTTATCAGAATATAAGAAAGTAGTTTTTTAAGTAGTTTGATCCTATTAGATAACTAAGAGGTACCATTAATCCTGTTTAATTCTGTACTAAGCTTTTCAAACGATGAAAGAAGTCCTTTTAACAAAACACTAGAAACACCATGAAGTATTAAAATAGGAGTAGTAAGGGTATGTCTTAAGGGGTACAAAGGGTAATAAGCCAGGCGATGCAAGCAAGAAACGCATGCTGTGACGAGAGGTAGAGTAAATAATTAAGAACGTAATCATAAATTATGGTGCGCGGTAAAGGCGGCAGGCAAAGGAAATCTTTATGGTGCGGCGCCGCTTTAGATGCCTTCTGTGAACTTACTGGCGCGGCTGCCATCTGCTGTGGCCAAGCTTCGTCCGATTTCGTCTCTGGCTAGTGTCAAGACGGCTGGTAAGGGTTCTGATGGCGCAACTATGCCACTCTGGGGAGTAGGAGATATTCCCTCACATATAGCAGACTCCACAGGCGTAGCTATGGGTGAAGGGCGGTATGCAACTCGCTCGGAGTATGTGCTCTCATCAGAAATAGGTCGGTCAGCAGATCGAGATATTGATGGTCCCAACCCCAGCTCTTTATGCAAACCGCCTCCCCTAGAGGCTTCTCCGCGTGTGGTGGCGGTTGGGCCAGCCGGTGGAGGTGGAACTATAAGGCTCTTTTCGTCGGTTCCGAATTTGTCGTCGTAGCCGTCACCGCCAGTTTCAAGGACGGAGGCAAGTTTCCTTCCCCCTATCTTTTGAAATCCCCGCTCACCGGGCTCTACTGCCATTGAAGCAGTTGATGTTCTAAATCTATCAAAAACACGTGTCGCTCCACCAAGAACAGCCCCGGAAAGCTGGCTGGTGCCGCTTGTGGAGAATGTGTTTCGGTCCGCTGAAGCACCGGAGCTCCTTAGCCCGCCAGTGAGAGTGCTTTCCCGGACAGCTTTTCGTTTCCGTACACGGCGCAGCAGAAGTAACAGTATTATAATCAGGGCAATTCCAGCTACACCCCCCACAACACCACCAATGATCTTGGGGACATCAGAGCCGGACGCAGCGTTCGAAGAACCGCCATTGGGTTGAGATGATGCAGGTGGTTGCGGTTGTCCGCTAGTTACCCCTCCTCCAGGAGGATATCCTGAAGTGGAACTCGTTGACGATATTGATGGAGCGGATGAGGTGGAGGATAACGAAAGCGTGTGGCTACTTGAAAGAGTTTTGGAAATGGTAGTCGTTGATGAGGGTATAGGGTGGGTAGAGGTTACGGAACCCGATTTGCTAGTTGATATTGAAGAATCAACCGTTGATGGTTTTGAGGACTCCGTGGGCGGGCTGGACTGGGTATTGGAGGGTACCGAAGAACCTTTCGAGGATGGTGTTGGAAGGACGGATGTGGAAATTTGAGATGTAGCAGGTATACTTGAAGGGGTAGAGATGTTTGTAGATGGTTTGGAGGGTTGGGGAACATAAGTAGAGGGTGATGAATGTTGGCTGGAGGGAAGTGAAACGTTTGTCGATGGTAGAGAATTGTTAGTAGAGGGAAGCGAGACATCTGTTGATGGTTTTGATGGCTGACTAGGCGGTGGCTGTGAAGCACTGAGGTGTGCTGGCGCCTTTGTCTGTGGATTAGGAAAGGAAGACACGATTATCGGAGACATGGATCCGGAGGGAATCGTAACTACGCCGAAACGTGAGTGTGAAACGGTTGCCGGGAGAGAAGCCACCGTAAACTCGGCTGCTGTCGAACCATCTTGTAGGACAGCCTCAATGACTGTCAAAACAACGGTGGTGGTTGGTGGTGCCGCGCGCTTAGGGCCCGTGTCATTGTTCTGGTTGTCACTCGGCAATTGTTCGACTTCCTCTCTTCGTATTATGTCCTTCATCCGATATTCAGGCGCTTTCCAGTGTTTCCGCCTATCGATATGATGCCCGCCCATCTTGAGCTAGAGTTAAGTGGTATCCCAGATACCGCTTTAAAGAAGGAAAAAGGCGCCAAACAAAGCTGTAGAAAAGGTTCTACACAATGGATCCAAGGAGAAAGCCACAAAATGGAAAAAGGCCTTGTGCAGAGCTTTGCTGCATTCACTTTTGAAATATGAACTAGAGGGACCGAGTGAGGGTGTTGATATCGAAAACTAAATCAGATCAAAAGGAGGATTGCACATAGTATCCTGTTGGAATCTGACAGATAAGCCCGGCTTAAAATGGAATCGATGTCCTAAATCGTTTCCCGGGTAGGTTGAAGAACGGTAGTCGTTTTAAGGGAGCGAACGGAAATGTTTAAAGAGCGGCGGCTGCTGTAGCGTGGAGAAAGAGAAATTAAATGCTTCTAGCAATGTATGAAACGGAGGCTCGAGCTTGCGGATGTAAATAAAAGTTTTCTTTTCAGGTAATGAGAGGATCGTCAATAGAGCGGACGTCAATCGCTGTGAGGGTAAAGAACGACTGTTGATATTCGGCGTAAAGGCGAGGGAAAGAAAAAAGATGGTATCGATGTGAATCGCCTTTTGCTAGTCCATCGCAGGAGGAGAGAAAGGTCGAAAGGAATGGCTGCTGGTCATCAGACCAACTGGCACGGCTGAATGAATAGCTATTATTTGAAGAAAGTTTCGCGTTAAAAAAGTTTGGCTTTGGAATTGGTTAGTCGAGTCGAGCTGTTCTTGATTTACCTGGCCAAAATCGAGAGGAGGTGGAGGGACCTGGAGGACAAAGGGGAAATCCCGGTCAGCCAGCTGCGTGTAATAATACTGATAAACGACTTAGAAGACTGAAGAGCTCAAGAAGACAGGGCCACGAGTGGTTTTGTGGCGGTTTCCCGCTCGCATAGGTTGAGCTGTCCAGCCAACCCGCGTGCAGAACGGGAGACGAGACAATGAACGGTCCAACAACCCAGCCGCGAGCCACGTCGGGTCTTCTGTTTGCTTCGCTTGCTCACCTTCTCAGCGTCCGTGATGGATGTGTCTCTTCTTCAGCGGCTGCACCGACGCCATCAGGAGTCTTCCACGTCGTCCGTCGTCGTCTGCGCCGTCGCTGTGCTGAAGTGTCGAGTCGAGGTTGCAGCGTCGCCGGACGAAGCGAGGTTGATGCCATGTCGTGCGCGCTTCCTAATCAGGCAGAGCGGCCGCCAAGCCTGTGCCAAGGCAAGAAATCAAACAGTGGGAGTCACATGATTGGCCATCGCGGGCCGTCGTACCTGACGCTAGTCCGTTAAAGGAAGCCAAGATCACGCTTATGTAATAGTTGTTTGATTATGTAATATCTACGCTGACGGGACGAGGATAAACGAGAACAGAACAGTCGGGAGTGAGTGTATTAGATCAACAGGGGGTTTTGTCTGCGATTGCGCTATGGACAGTCTGCAAGCAGCTTTCGTTTAGAGTAGACAGTCTGGTGTGTAAGTGTGGAATGTACCGAGTGTGGGATATGCAATTTAGAATGTCTCCAATTCCTCGCCTCCAGCCTCGCCATCTGGAATCTCAAATCCCTCCTAGCTCGATCGTTAGTATGGAGATTAACGAGGATCAACGGTTTTAAGACATGGATAGGGGTAATACCTCTGTAGAGTACAGGATGGCCTGGATGTGCTTAACCAACGAGTCGTCTTCCTTTTCCAATTCTGGATCAGCCTCAACGGCCTGCTGCAGCAAAAGTTCAATGTCTCTCAGTTTGGCAAAGTAGAAATCGCGCTCCTTCTCGAGACCGGCGATGGCCTCCTTCTGTGCATTTAGTTCTTGAGTTAGGGCCAGGTTGTTCGCACCACCAACTCGCGCTCTGCCAGCGGCGCTCGTGGGTGTCGTGCCCCGTCTAGTGCCTGTGGCAGAAGAGGTTCCTGAACGAGCTCCCCCGGCAGCAGGTGGTGGCGCTCCAGATCCCTTTCGTCGTGCAACAGCGTCGTATTCACCGCCGGGGTAATACTGATCCCAATGTCTTTTTATCCACTGCAGAAACTCCAAGTTGTCCTGCATGCGACACTTGATCAAAGCCTGGACAGGGACCGGACGGTCGATCTGATGGCGCAAAAAGGCACCTATACAGAAAGCAGATCGTCAGTTCAGGAACAGATGTTGTTGCGGATGGTACCAAGGGGGCGTACTCTGTAGGACCTTAAAGTTGTTTACATAGGCGTATTCGGTGTTGACGTTGAACTTTACTCGTGCCATAGGAATGTCCACTACAATGACCACGGTTAGTTGGATGGCCTTATTCACTCCTGTTTGAAGGCCGCACTTACTATAAATCGAGTCAAGAATTTGACAGAACGCAGCACTATTATCCCCAACGTCAGCACATCATCTCCCCGTCTCGGAACTAACATCATCATCGAGCGACCAGCAAACGACCAAATTCGCTCGCCCATGTCTTTATTTAGAGATGTCGACCACCAGTCCCGCTGGACTTCGCGAGAGGACAAAACATAGCAGATATGTGTACACCTCTCTTTGGTGGATGAATAAACTGATCATATGCAGAGGAGGAATGGGCGTAGGCCAAAAAGCGGGATATATCAATCATACCCGGTTCCGCATTGTTCGACTTTCGTCACGTTCAGTTGCAGCAGGTTGTTAACCCACTGCAGCAACTCCTGTCTAATCGGTTTAAACCGCGAATAGTCAGCATATCCGTCGTCACAGACATATCCTCAGCGACTTTTCCCCCCGCTCAGCAGCATCAGTATCTTGACGTCAACAACCAACGACACTGTTTATCGCAGGGAAACGCGTCCTGGCCAAGGCGGGGCAACGGCGGCCAAATAATGTCCCAGTCGATCTCGCAGGGCAAAGTCCACCGGTCTCGTACCTTGATTCACTCATCGCCGCGATACCAGTCGTTCGAGTCGTTAGCGAAGGAAAAGGAGAATGTTTCCTTGGTACTCCTTTGGCTTTTAACGTTGACGTTACCCTTGACATTGATGTTTTCTCCAAGTGGGAGTTAGCCGCGTGGGAACGGGAGTAATTTGGTTATTTACTTATCGGGACAGGATATACCTGGCTGGATGTGTCTCAATAACAGGACACTGCTGTAATAAGTCAGCTTGGGTGTGTGTTGGAGGTTTTGGTTGTCTGGAGGCGAGTTTGTTCTGTGATTTGATAAGTGACGAAAAAAGGAGATTTCGGCCTGCCGGGTTTAATTTTGTTAAAAGAAAATATTGTTACTAAAGCCTCCAGGCTAAGGACTAATCAAATAATTTACAGGTTTAATTTATTTATCCATAGAACACTGTCGAACCTACCACCACCTTTCTGTGCTTTCTCCTGGCCTTGCGAGTGTGGTCTGCTTAATATAATCAACCACATGGTTCCAAGGCTTCAGCAGCTGGGACCTTGGTCCTTACAACTCCCACCTCATACCGCATAGCTGCTAGGTTAAAATATTATATATATCAAATGGCTATACAAAGAGTGTTGATCATTAATTAAGAAATACATCGTCAAAAGGCTGGATCATTCTTCTTCTGGCTCCCAGATTTTAACCACCACTTTCCCACGCGCATGGCCACTGCCCATCACTTCATAAGCACCCGGCGCCTCACCCATATCCCATATCTCACCGAAATGTGTGTTGAACTCACCTGCTTGGGCCAACTCCTTGCATCTCTCGATGGCCTCCGTACTGGTGAATGCAGATATCTGCTTATACGGTCTAGGCACTCCCCCTAGCCAGGTTGGCAATGTTGAGTTCATGATCATCTTCCAGAGAAACCCAGGAACTTCCGTGATGGAGACACCCATCTTGGGACCGACTGTGACATAAGGATGATCTTTGCCTGGCTTGAGGTATTTAGCAGAGCATATCCAGAGATCCTGACTTCCGTAGGCGTCGAATATAATGTCAAACTTCTCTTCGTCGCTACCGTGCTTTGCAGCGAGATATTGGACTAATGTTTGGCCCTCGGCGTTGGGGAAAGAGGTGTGGTCGATGGTGTCGGTACAACCAAGCTGAAGGGCAAGTGCATGGTTATGACCGGAGCAGATTCCTGTGATTCGCGCCGTAGGGTTGCGGTGACGGAGTAGCTGAGTTGCAAAATGCCCGACACCGCCGCAGGGGGAGTTGATGAGAATTTTGGCGTCCTTGGACACCTCTGCTGCTTCAACCAGGACTAAAGCCGTGTGTGCGGAAACTCCTAAGCCTGAGGCTTCTGCGAATGATACATTGGTAGGCTTTCTGGCAATAGCGGCCGCTTCGATGGCGATATATTCGCCCAAGGCACCCTGGCCAGTACCAAGATGCGGCTTCACAGGTAAAGAGCCGAAAACCGGTGTCCCTGGTTTAAAGTCTCGAGGTCCATTGGAAACAGGAACATTTTTCCCACAGCTGACAATGACGCCGGAGAAGTCTGTTTCGGGTACGGCGGGCATTCGACGCAGCCATGAGGGGACAAAATGCATCAGGATGATGATCCCAGGGTGGAATGCAACATGGGAGACTCGTACTAGGACGGATGTATCGGTTGGAAGTGTGGGTATAGAAATGTCTTCCTTTAATGACAGGACTTTGGAAGGCGAACCAGTCCGGTGATGTACCCAAGCACGCATAGTTCTAGGGATAGAGATTGATGCTGTTATTTTCGAAGCCATGGATAAAGATACTATGTGATTCTTGAGTTATAACGAGACAATTGTCTGCTGCTGAATATATCCGCAGAGGACTGCATCTGAATTCGGTGGTCTCTATGCAAATAAATAGCTGATCTCTCCAGAGCTCGTTGCCATCGTAGCTGCTGTATTTAATTGTGTTGCCTGCCCACTTGGCAGAGGTCATCGTACTTGTGCCTTTACCTTCTAAGATAATGAAAGAGTGTCCTCGATCCATGGTAGAGCCAGTCGAAGCCAATAACAGCTCGTCGTAGCCGAAGAATCGAGACACATGGTCGAGTTGCTAATAATACGACAGCGTGAGGTTACTCTCATGCCAGCGCAGACATCCCTGTTGTATGACGTCGGTCGGTTATCCATCCGTATACTTTGGCCCAGTCTTTGGCGCTGATAGGTAATGATGACCAATTGATTAGAGTAGTAAGATCTAAAATCAGAAGTTAATCCAATGAAATACGGAAACATAACCGTCTATCATAAGGAAATCTATACGTATAGAATCCAAATATAGCAAGAAGGGGGCAATATAACGAGATGATCCAAAAACACCAACGCCGGGAGCTATGTTCTATCCGAAATCAAAAAGGAAAAAGAAGAAGGCCTCCTTTTTTTATCCCTCCAGCGATTCTATACCATCTAAACCATAACCAAAGTCCATGATCACAGCCCTAGCGTCTTGACTAGTTGCGACTATTCTTCTATAATCTGATTTGGCACTCAGCATCCAGCTTGTGGTCCAGCCAGGGAGATCGATGCTGAGTTTTCCGGCCTTTGCGTCGAATACTTTAATGCTCATGTCATAACTACCGCTGACGACGCGGCCGTTGGCGTTATCCATGTGCAGAGACCTGACGAGGCCGGAATGGCCTTCTAACTCTTTCACGAGTTCCCCTGTGTTTGCGTCAAATTGATATATAACCTGATCATTCCCGCCAGCTAGAATGGTACGTGCATCCTCAGAGAATTCGACACAGGCTAGGCCACGGTCTTTGCTGGCAAATTCTTTGATGCAGAGACCGGATGAGATGTTCCACAGCTTCGCAACGCCGTCACCGCTGGCAGAGACGACCAAGTCGCCACGGAGCTGGACTGCGTTTACTGGACCGCGGTGGCCAAGGAGGCGTTTGAGCAGCTGGCCGGTTTCGCGGTCCCAGACGCAGATAGTGGTGTCTTTGGAGCAGGACACAATATGCTTATCATCGAAGCAGACGTCAAGGACGCCGGCTTGGTGCCATTTCAAACGGCGAATGGGGCGGTAGTTGTCTTGCATATCCCAGACGATACAGGTGGCATCTGATGAACCAGTGACCATGATCTTATCGTCGAACTGCAGACAAAGGATTGAAGCGTTATGGTACTCTCCGGACTCGTGGTGGGAGATGAGGTCAGCGGTGGATGCCACAGGTGGGCATATGCTGATAAAGGGAGAGCTGCCAGTTGAGTCTGCAGGCGGAGTAATGGGCCATGGTGTGACGGGCACGCTGCTGTCAGATGTGGCCTGGTGTGCGCCGATGACTTTCAAACACGGCCAGGGATAACGTGCGTCCCACACGCGGATGGTACGATCCCGGGACCCAGTGATAATTTTATTCCTGACCGGGTTGTCAGTTAAACATTGAACGAAACACAAGGAATATGCAAGAGGAGGACATACTCGTCAAATTGAACACAGTACACGCTGTCCTGATGACCATGCAGGTAGATGGCAGCAGCCTTTCCAGATTTCCAGCGGTTCTCCAAGGTGTGTCGAACCTTGTACACCTTTTTCCAGTCCTGGGCGGGCTTCTTCTTTCCCAGGCCCATCGCTCTCTTCGGGATACCGGGTGTATTGGCAACATTACGGCTGTCTCTGTATTCACGGTAGAAAACCTCTCTCCAAACATTACTGGAGGAAGCATGGACGTTCCATGAACTTGAGACTAGTTCCGCATTCTTAAGCGAATCTGCGTCGAGGAAGGATAGGATATGCGCCATGAGTTCTGCAGGCAAGGAAACAGGGTCTATCAAAAAGATATGTTAGCCATGCAAACTAAAAAAGAAAAGAAAAAAGACTAACCCTTGCGAACGCAATCTAGTTTCTTTGCATTATCATCGGTGTCCTGAATGTTTATGCTTATTCCACTCTCTGAGTCCAAGGCAAGCTTGACACCAAGGTGACCGGCAAGCTCAAAGATCTCCATGCCTTCATCCTCCCCCTTCAGCGGCGGTGCAAGCATGCCCTTGCGCCCCGCGGCATCGTCCACCAGCTGGCCATTCTGCTGTGTGTGAGTGAAATCCTTGCAGTTCGAGGGCATAGGTGGACTTGACGCCAGAGGGTAGAGTTTATTCAGGTTGCAGATTCCACCAAGAGACCGGCGACGTGGCAGTCTGTGGCTGCGAAACCAGCCTGCCTTGGACTCTTCATGGCTCTGGTGTTCCGACAGCTGTTCGCCTGGTGCCTGTGCAGCTCGTTTTCCCTTGTTTCGAATGCTAATGGACAGAGACCGAGTGATTGTCTTGAGCTCGCTGGCCCCGTGTAGGATACTGGAGAAGCTCTTGCTATGGCGATGCTTTGATCTCGGAACAGTAGCGGAGAGAGCCTCGTCCGTCTCGACGATGGCGCTTTGGTGACTTTCTCCAGGAAAGGGGAAAAGAGCCTCCTTATGCACCCCGTCATGGGCTCGTCCAAGTCCATCCTGCGTCTGGTGGTGATGTTGCTGATGCTCGCCGCCAGCTGAAGTAAGTGGCCGCACCCTGGAGCGAAGAGTTGACCGCCGCCGGCCAGGGTTGGCATTGGACGTGCAGCAAGACATTGTCTCTGAAACGACGACTGAGTCTTAAAACTAGTTATATAGGTATGCGAGGGGGATCGAAGGTAGGTCGTAACAAGAATATATTTCCCTCTTGGGTTGATGCGTGGGACAGTCGGGCTTGTATCAGGTCGAACCCCTAAGGGCAGCAAGTTCCAGACGCCAACACAAGGGTAAGGACTCAGACGAAACGAAAGGCAAAGAGAGAAAAAAAATTATCTCAAGGAAGAATATAGGAAATAACAGAAATAATATAAATATACGACGAAGAGAAAAAGAAGAATAAAAGAGAGAGAGAGAGAGAGAGAGGACGGCAAAAGGACGAAGTCAATGATGAAATAGAAAGGAAAAAAGGAGTCGCTTGCCTCATAATTTTCTCCAGCTTTGCTTATTTAAGCATTCAAAATTTTCATGCCAAGACCCGGGGAAAGGCGGCTCAGGGGTTTTTGGCTCGTTTTTTAAGCATAACTCGGTTATAGTTTTAGTCACTGATAGATTAGTTACATAGGGATGGATGAAGGTGAGGATGGAGAGACAGGCTATAGAGACGGACGTGGAGGCTTGGAGAAGGCCGTGTCGTAGCCGGTCAGAGTGAAGCGGTAGCGGATGTCGCCTTTCTTCATCCTCGTCACGGCGTCTCGCAGGCCGTCTTCGCCTATCTGGATCTCCTCGACCCAGCTCTGCAGACCCTTGTCAGCCGCCAGCTGCAGCATCTCCAACATCTCCCTGCGGCTCCCCAGATGGCTAGCGCCCATCAGCACCCCGTTGGCAATAAAGCTCTGCGCCTTGATGGACGGGCCGTCTTCCTCGGGCAGCCCAACGCTCACCCATTTGGCGTGCACATCCAGCAGAGACAGGTACTTGTCCAGCGCAAAACCCTTGGAAGAGTTGGCGCAGTTGATGATCAGATCAAAGGAGAACTTGTGTGATTTCTCCCAGCCCTCCTCTGCCGTGGCGATGAACCCATCTGCTCCCAGCTTGCGAGCGTCTGCCTCTTTGGCCCGGGTGCGTGAAATGGCCCAGGTCTCCGCCCCCAGTGCCTTTGCGAACATGACGCCAAAGTGGCCAATGCCACCGAGCCCGACGATTCCGACCTTCTTGCCGGGGCCACAGCCGTTGCGGACAAGAGGTGAGTAGGCGGTGATGCCGGCGCAAAGCATGGGAGCAACGGAGGTGGTGGCCAGCTTCTCTGGGATGGGGAATACCCAGTGCTCGTGGACGCGGACGTGAGAGCCGTATCCTCCCTGGCTGACGATGCCGGTGCCAGGCCACTTGGAGCCGTACGTGTCCATGATGACATTCGGGCAGTATGTCTCGTTGTCGTTCTTGCACTGCTTGCAAGTGCCGCAGGAGTAGACTTGCGCCCCAATGCCGACTCGCTGGCCTTCCTTGATCAACGTCACTTTGGGTCCAACGCGGACGGCAGTGCCCACGATCTCTGTATCACATCAGTATCTGTGTTCTGTCGATCTTTTTCAAGTAAAGGCATACCGTGGCCGACGCATAGGGGAAACAGTTTAGGTCCCCATCCGCCTGTTCCTCTTCGTCAGTCACCATTTCTTTCCCTGACAAGGTTGCAGAAAAATCATACCAGTGATAGTATGGATATCACTTCCACAGATCCCACAAGCTTCTACCTTGACATCGACATCTGTGCATTTTGTCAATCTTGCAACCCATCTTATTGTTCGACCGTGTAGCCTCACCATAGTCCTCAAACGGTTTTAGTTTATACTACGCTATTGTCAGCTCTCACCACCACAGTCACAATCACCATGACAGGAAAATTGAATACAGACATGACGCTTGTGAAACTGAGTATGCGTCTCAGCACTGTCGACCTGGAATCCCTCTGCTTCGTCCATTGAAGGCATCTTGACTATCGCTTGCTCTGAATAGTTATCATCGAATGCTCTTGATATGACTATGATCGTGAAAAAATTCTCACACAAAAAGAGGCAAGCAGGACGATGCTGTCATATATGGAGAAGCTCGACGGCGAATTGCCCGAGTAAGCCCACGATTTTCACCTATGCCGGCGGGTCTTGCTTACTTGCGGTGTCGTATCGCTTTACCTATGGGATAAACGGGATAAAGGCTGGGTTGCATTGACAACTCCACCACTTTCTCCACTGTTCCAAGGCATTGAAGTGAATTCACCTCAAGTTCAATGTGCATACAAAAGAGGTCTTCGGTGATTAAATCTATATTCTATATAATCTGCAGCATATTCTGTGGGGTAACTGGGATTAAAGGGGCCTGTTTTATGGCCCTGCACATCTACACGACACCGCTGAGTCTCATTTCAATGGCCATGGCTGGTTTGATCTTGTCTGATACTTCTTTCTCCTAAGCCTCCGTTAAACGAGGCATCGGTGCTCGAGGATACCCGCCATAACCGTAGCAGGCCTGGATCGCACTCTTCGTCCCTGGGATGGTGTATTTGGACATGATCCAGTCCCCGTCACTGAGAATCTTCTGCATTTCCATCGCCTCCGCCAGCTTCCCCTCTTCCCATAAATTGAACACCTCAACACACAGCCGAGGTAACACATTCGCTCCCCCGGCTATTATGCCGGACCCTCCAGAAACAAGTGTTTGAAGAGCAAAGTCCGCATAACCGCCAAAGGCAAAGTATGGAGGAGGGGGCGGCCGCTCAGGGCACCCATCTGCTGCAGGCTTTGTTAAAGGGGAAGCTGGTGTGATAGCATTCATGGCAGCAGCAACACGGCATAGCTTCCCCGTACTGCCACACGTAAACTTGGTTCCAATAATGTTGGGATGCTGTGATAATCGAATGATAAAGTCGGAGTCCATGTCGATTCCGGCAACTACCCCAGGGAAATTATATAGGATGATGGGTAGAGGCGACCCATCGGCCACCTTTGTGAAATATTCGAACAGAGCGTTTTGGTCCCCCATTGCAGCTCGGTAGTAGCTAGGTGAGATCAACAGTATATATTCTGCCCCTGCATCTGCTGCCTCGCGACATATCTCAACCGTGCCTCGAACTCCTTGGTCTGTAGCACCAGATATGACAGGAATATGCCTGAAACCTGCATCGTCCAGTGCCGAGCGGGTGTGTTGTGTGACAAGAGCACGTTCGGCTCTGGAGAGATGGACTGCCTCGCCGTTCGAGCCCATGGTAATCAGGCCGGCAACACCGGCTTTGGCAAGCCGTACTGAATGAGCGCGGATGGTAGGTATATCAAGTTCTTCCGTGGCCGGATCGAAGAATGTCATGGTAGGCACATAGACGCCGGGTTGGAGGGGTCTCCTCGTCGGCTTTTCCATTTTTTATTTGGTTATATGAACAGTGAAATGAAAGTAATCGTAACCTGTCTTTATCGGCGAATTGCTCGCCTGTACCCGTAATGCTCAGGGTTGAAGCCGTATATTACTTGTCAAGGGCAGGATTCGGTGATATCATAGCGACCTCGAGCTGCGTGGACGGTGGCGGGGCCGCGGCTGAACCCCGACACTGGCTACAGCGGTTCCCCTGCTCATCTCACTTCGTCCATAGCTACCACCTCACCGTCGACAGCTGGGAGGTAGCAGAGACAAAAGAGTACAATCTCTCCTAAATACTTGATTTTATTATATTTTACACGGCGAATGGGGCCTACTGTGTAGTTTCACGTGTTGGGACTGAATTGTACTGCCTAGAAACCTCATAACAAAGAAGCCTTCCCAATAGTTATCTGGCATCTTTCCAACATAGACGTACAGTGTCTCTTTACGCAGCGAACCCAATCGTGGTGATTCTGTCAAGATGGCTCCCCCAGATGTGTTGATGGTAGGATGGTGTGTTGTTTCGTTTAGGAAATGGAAACTGACTTGTATATACGCAGGTTGGAACGGGCGAGTATACCACCGGCTTTGTAGGAGGCACCGCGTCTACCTCGGACAAGAAGGTGGGAGTCGTCGGCCTGACGATGTTTGACCTTCGGAGAAGAAATAAGGTCGGCAACCTGAGCATGGCTGGGGTATCAGGCTTGAAGTTTCTGTCTATTAGTGAGTGCTCTCCTAGATGCAGGGCAACTAGTACTCCGTACGGTTTCGACCTGATACTGAGACCTGCTCCAACCGTGGCGTAAAAGGAAAGCATCTTCAGACCAACATATCCGAGGTGTACAATGGGCTATCAGTCTCGTTTGAATCCTACCCGGCAGACGACAAGGTTGACCCAAATGCGTACAAGACGGCCATAGATGCGTTAAAGCCTGGCTCAGCCATCACGATATTTACCCCTGATACAACACATTATGAAATTGCGCTGTACGCTATACGGCGTAAGATCCACGTTCTCATCACTAAGCCCGCTACAAAGACGCTAGATGACCATCTCGAGCTTTTGGCTGAGTCTCGAAAGCATAACGTTTTCGTATTCATCGAGCACCATAAGCGTTTCGACCCAGCATACTCGGATGCACGCAACAAGGCTCGGAAGCTGGGAGATTTTAACTATTTTTACAGCTATATGAGCCAGCCCAAGAGCCAACTAGAGACGTTTAAAGCATGGGCTGGGAAGGACAGTGACATTTCGTATTACCTTAACTCCCACCATGTTGACATCTGTGAGAGTATGGTTCCGGAGTACGCACCAGTTAGGGTAACTGCCTTAGCCTCGAAGGGAGCAGCTATTGAGCTTGGCTGTGTTGAAGAAACGGAAGATACCATAACCCTGATGGTTGAGTGGAGGAAGAAAGAGGAGCCTTCCAAGATTGCGACGGGTGTATATACCGCAAGTTGGACTGCGCCTCAACAGGCTGGAGTTCACTCTAATCAATACTTCCATTGTAAGTGTAGCAGGATTTCCTGGACGCCCTATGCTGACCGCTTTCACTCTGGCCGAGACTGAGCACTGGTCCAAGAGGGGGGGAAAACGGGCTGATGCGAGATCTTGTTTCTGATACTTTATTTAGGGATGGGGTCGAAGGGCGAGATCAGAATCAATCAGGCTAAGAGAGGATACGATGTCACAGTTGATGAAGGGCTCGTGTGGTACAACCCGTAAGTACAACGAAGCAAGCACAAATCGAGCACCCGCTTGAACATGATGATATGTCTCCGGCCTGTTGGGTCGTAACGAGGAGCGGGAAGATGTTTTAAATCTGTCCACGTTTATGCATATCGCTTTTGTTTTTTGTTTTTCTCTTCACTTTTGGAAGCTCGCTAATAGACTCTCCTTTCTTCCTTGGCAGCTTTTATATGAGCTATGCTCCCGACGAGGAAGGGAACTTTGGTGGCCAGCGAGGCTATGGGTATATCAGCTTCGAGAAGTTTATTGATGCCATCACTGCCCTAAACGGCGGACAAGTGACTCTCGACCAACTCGACCGTCGTGGATTGCCAACCCTAAAGAACACAATTGCAACAACGGCAATATTACATGCTGGCAGAATCTCCTTAGATGAGCGGCGTTTTGTTGAAATCCTGAGGGATGGGGACAGCTGGACATTAAAGTAGGCTTGGAAGTGGTATTTGCAGCCACATGGGCAGTGTCACGATGTGGTTGCACAGAACAAAGTCAACAGTAAATCAGGAGGAGCTAGATCCCTGGCCTAGCTTAGATGCGATTTGCATAGCCCCCTTCGTGGAGTTTTCCCTTGCCTGATTTCTTGGTATCTTCTGTACGGGCTGTTCTTGAGGAAGGAAGAAAAAGCCTTGATGGAAACCCAAGACACGGAGCGTGCTTATATAAGTGTGGCTGGTGATCCAATAGTCGCGGCTAACCCCGATGACATAATACAGTTACGCGCCGCATGTGGCTGGTGACGTCGTCTTTCTTCTCTTTTTGGCTCTTTTTTGGTACAAAGAAACATCGCCGCTGCCGACGACGACGACGACGACGACGACGACGGTGACGGCGACATACTAAGGAACTAAATACTTCGCCCTCTATCCAAGCCTCATTGTTGGCATCTGACGAGCTGGTGTCATAAGATGATGTTATCTTCGGCTGCTATCCTCAGGCATTCCAAGATGGCCATGCCATGCTATTTTTGCCTCTAGTATGATCGAGTTTTCAATGCTTTTAAGGTTGCTGATCAAATCAGCGTTGAAGAGAGGTGTAGCCACTCAAGAAGCGAAAACGAAAGGCTCTCATGCATGTTCCCGTACAGGCTTTCGAGAAATCATGGTCATACACATCAGAGTTTTCCTTGCTCCGTATGGAATGTATACACCCATATGCCAAATAAGAGTTCCCCAAGCTCCTCAGCGGAATGTTCAACTTGGCAACAGCGGCGGAGTTATTATCCACCTTCTTCAGTGGAGAATTTCTGTTCCCTTGGCTGGTAGGTAGGCGGATGAGAACTTATTCCATGGGCTTCTTCTCCGCACACAAACTACTCCGTACGTCAAAGGACAAGGGCATGCACAACGTCAAAGGGAAAAATCGCTCAGTGACAAGGGAATCCAAGATTATAGATCTACAAGTTGGATGAGGAGATGTGTTGGGATGGCTGATCCCTGTATCCAAGATGGAGAGTCCAACCGACCAACAGGCCGATTTTAATATATCCCTTCCGAGCCAAGGTACCTTGGCCGGAGTAAAAGTGGTACACAGATTGGCACGAGAAAGCGACTCCCTATCCTCATATCCAAGTACAGAGTATACGCTTTCTAGCCTCCCGCAGGCGCCTTACATGCATCTTGCCCGTGGGCGGACTTTTGGTATCTTCTTGATTCAATAGGAAGTACGAGAACCAGCCCAAAGTATTTATATCTCCACGGCAAAAGGAAATATCCGCATAGAATCGCCAAAAAAGCGAGCTCAAGCGTGTGGCCTGTCACTTTGGCCGGGGGTCAACCCTCGACACAGTCCATTTGGGTGGTTTAGTGGCTGTCGCAGCCTTTCGTTTTTCTGTCCGGCCCCTGACAGACCCTTGGAGGAAGAAGTTAAAGATTTTTTAACTCGTCCAATATCATTGGTCGGCCCACTTATGCAGCATCAGAGTTCAAGATTGGATCCATAGACTTCCCGAAACCTCATACTAACCGCCATGTTGAAACATTCAAAATCTCCCGTTCTTGACCACGACCACATTTTACGACGACGTTGCCAATAATCACCAAAGACATGATGACTGAAATCGCAACTGCGCCCATCAGCCTGTGTTCCATACGGCCGAGGATTTCAAATAATATCTTACCTTAATCAGCAGGGGCTACCTAATCTGGGATGCCTTGTTAGTGGCGGTCGTTTGACGCTGGCTGGGGCGTCCAAGACTTGCACTGCCTCGCTGGAAACTCTTATCCCCGAACGGCAGGAGATGAAGGCCTCCACTGCGTGATAACCAAGGGTTGCTGGCGGCAAGCCAAGTCTCTTAACATCGAGCTACCAAAGCACAGCGCGGCTGGGGGGATTATTACATCGCCTTCGTCGACACTGAGGATGTATGTAAGGAGAGGCTCTCCCTGAGCATATCGCAAACGATCAGACCACCAGCAACCTCTGCGGAGTATCATTATCTCCCCCTACTTTACGAACCAACATTAATTATTTAAATTCTTTATTTCATCACTTCTATATCATAGCCTATTCCCTTCGCACGATAATAGCTTTCGAGGACAAAACACACTATTGACCTCATCTTCCCCCATGGCGAACAACAGCCGGTTGCTCGCACCCTCTATAACCATAGACACACATGTAAGTATCATCTCGAAATAATCTACATACCAGCATGAGACCTCTACTCTGACCAAATCATAGTATGACAACACTGCGTCATCTTCATCCGACCCTATCAGCCCCCTAAGCCCTACTGCTGCACAAGAACTCTCTCCAGACAGACCCTCCTCATCTAATGATGCAAACTCGTTTCTCTTCCCGCGAAGTCCAATCTCCTTCGATGGGGAGACCCTTCGATCAAGGGCAAACTCAGTCAACTCAAACGTAGATACCCTTCGATCGCGATCCGGCTCGACAGTTAAACCGCACGGCAGATTAGATGGTGCGGACTATGATGATGTTCCACTATCAGATGCCTTAAAGGCAGACGAGCGCAATAAACAAGATTTTGAGGTCGAGAACAACCCATTCGCATTTTCGCCCGGCCAGCTGAACAAACTTTTAAACCCGAAGTCATTAGCCGCCTTCAAAGCCCTGGGTGGATTGAAGGGACTCGAGAAAGGCTTGAGGACCGATTTAACTGCTGGTCTATCACTCGACGAGTCACACCTGGAAGGCACTGTTAGTTTTGAGGATGCTATACAAAGCGGCTCAACTAAACTCCAAGACTCTGCTGCCTCAACCCCTCAGCCGTCGACATCTAGTGGCGGAGCCCAGTTTACAGACCGCATACGTGTCTTTGACCGCAATAAGTTACCTGAACGGAAAAGCGACAGCTTCTTCGTATTGCTATGGAGAGCTTATAACGATAAGATCATCATCCTACTCACCGTTGCTGCCGTTGTTTCGCTTTCCCTTGGCCTCTATGAAACGTTCAGTGGCGGGAGCAAGGTGGACTGGGTTGAGGGCGTCGCAATCTGCGTCGCTATTCTTATTGTCACCATCGTTACTGCAGTTAATGACTGGCAGAAGGAAAGACAGTTTGTCAAGTTAAACAAGAAGGTTGGTCTAGCCAATTCTCGGTATATTCCTGGACATCAACTAACTAGAACATAGAAAAATGACCGTGAGGTTAAAGCTATCCGTTCAGGAAAGTCTATTATGATTTCCATTTTTGACATCACTGTGGGAGACATTCTTCACCTTGAACCCGGTGATGCTATTCCTGCAGATGGAATTTTTCTTTCTGGCCATGGTGTGAGATGCGATGAGTCCTCTGCCACTGGAGAGTCAGATCAGATGAAGAAGACTGATGGGCATGAAGTTTGGGACCGAATCAACAATGGGACCGCTACGAAGAAACTCGATCCCTTTATTATCTCTGGCAGCAAAGTCCTCGAAGGTGTTGGGACGTACCTCGTTACCAGCGTTGGACCAAATTCCTCCTATGGCAAGATCATGCTTTCACTCCAGACTTCAAATGATCCTACACCACTTCAAGTCAAGCTAGGAAATCTTGCAGACTGGATTGGCGGTCTTGGAATGGCGTAAGTATCTCTTATCATTCATTGCAGTTTGTACCCTTTCGTCAAGACCTAACACTTCGGTAGTGCTGCCGGCATGTTGTTTTTTGCGCTTCTCTTCCGATTCTTGGCCCAGCTACCGGATAACCACCACTCGCCTGCCATGAAAGGCAAAGAATTCTTGGATATTCTTATTGTTGCCGTTACTGTTATTGTTGTTGCAATCCCGGGTATGTTCGGTACTTTAGATACTCTTCATATTTAATCGCTACTAACGAGTATATCAGAGGGTCTACCACTCGCCGTTACACTGGCGCTTGCATTTGCTACAAGTCGAATGGTGAAGGAGAACAACCTTGTTCGAATTCTTCGCGCTTGTGAAACCATGGGGAATGCCACGGTTATTTGCTCAGATAAGACTGGCACACTGACCCAGAATAAGATGACTGTTGTTACAGGAACCTTTGGAATGAAAGACACATTTGATCGTACCCCAGAAGCCGAGGGCGAGGGTCCATCTGCCGTTACTCAGATGTTCAATGAAGCTTCAACTGCTGCCCGTGATCTGGTGATGAAAGGTATTGCTCTTAACTCTACTGCCTTTGAAGGCGAAGAGAACGGAGAGAAGACATTCATTGGAAGCAAAACGGAAGTGGCTATGTTGCACCTTGCCCAAAGATACCTTGGATTGAGCTTGACTGAGGAGCGTGCCAGCGCTGAAATCGCACAGCTTGTTCCCTTTGATTCCGCTCGCAAGTGCATGGGGGTTGTTATTCGCCAGCCAGACGGAACATTTCGACTACTCGTTAAGGGTGCCGCCGAGATCATGTTATACCAGTCAAGCAGGGTTATCTCAGGATTATCCACGCCTCAACTCGAATCCAGCGTTCTCTCGCCCAAGGCCAAATCTGATATCCTTGATACGATCAACTCGTACGCAAAACGCTCCCTGAGATCCATTGGCATGGTCTATAAGGACTTTGAATGCTGGCCGCCGCAAGGTGCTAAGACCATGGAGGAGGATAAGTCTTCTGCCGAATTCAACGACGTTTTCAATAACATGACATGGGTTGGTGTCGTTGGAATTCAGGACCCTCTCCGAGATGAAGTTCCTGGAGCCATTCAGAAGTGTAACAAGGCTGGTGTTGGCGTGAAAATGGTTACAGGTTAGTCATGCTATCATTCGTCGTAACGCAGAATACGATTTACTAACTACGTGTATGTAGGTGACAACCTGACTACTGCTGTGGCCATCGCAACGGAATGTGGCATCAAGACCCCTGATGGTATTGCTATGGAAGGCCCTAAGTTCAGACAACTCTCTGACAAGGAAATGGATCGTATCCTTCCAAACTTGCAAGTCCTGGCCCGTTCCTCACCTGAAGACAAACGTATCCTCGTTACTCGCCTTAAGCATCTTGGAGAAACTGTTGCTGTGACAGGCGACGGTACCAACGATGGCCCTGCACTTAAGGCTGCTGATGTTGGTTTTTCTATGGGCATTGCGGGAACCGAAGTTGCAAAGGAAGCCAGTTCTATTATCCTTTTGGATGATAACTTCAAGTCTATTGTGACTGCGATCTCATGGGGAAGAGCTGTAAACGATGCTGTTGCAAAGTTTTTGCAGGTTAGTTTGTTAACACACCTTCATCTATATGTCAACACTAACGAGTACTAGTTCCAAATCACTGTCAACATTACCGCTGTTGTACTGACCTTCGTTTCGTCTCTCGCTAATTCAAATGGAAAGAGTGTTCTGAATGCTGTTCAACTTCTCTGGGTTAATCTTATCATGGATACTTTTGCTGCCCTCGCACTGTAAGTCCCGCGTTGAGCCTTACCCATACATACGTGCTCTTCTCACTAACGTACCTAGCGCCACTGATGCCCCTACCGAAAAAATTCTTGACCGCAAGCCATCTCCAAAGTCAGCTCCCCTTTTCACCATAACTATGTGGAAGATGATCATTGGGCAAGCCATCTACCAACTCGTTGTAACGCTGGTGCTATTTTTCGCCGGAGCCAAGATATTTGGATACGATCTCGAGAACGACCCTAGCGGATTACTCGCTGCTCAGATGGACACAATCGTCTTCAACACGTTCGTTTGGATGCAAATCTTTAATGAGTTTAACAACCGTCGCCTTGACAACAAATTCAACATCTTCGAGGGCATGTTCAAAAACTATTTCTTCCTGGGCATCAACGCCATTATGGTCGGTGGCCAAATCATGATCATTTTCGTCGGCGGTGCGGCTATTGGGGTTAAAGCTCTTACCGCAGTACAATGGGCAATCTGTATCGGAGCGGCCTTGCCTTGTCTCCTGTGGGCCGTGATCGTCCGTTGTCTCCCTGACAGGCACTTCGAGGTCGTTATGAACTTGGTCATTACCGCCTTCAACTTTTTCTGGAAGCCGATTGCAAAGGTTTTCCGCGCCATCTTCACACCAATTGCTAAGGCTTTCCGCCGGGTTTTTGTTCACAAGAAGAGCAAGCCCAAGACAGAAGAGGAACTGGCCGAAGAGTCATGTGAAAACAGGCCACGAGACGAAGAGACCGCTGATATTGAGAAGCAGGCAGATACTGCGTCCCATCCCGTTGCCCCCCCTACTATCGTCCCTCCACCAATTACCCTCACAGCACCCAGCTAAATACGTCCACCATTTCGTTTTTACTTTCCTCACCTCTATACGGGTATAATCCTAATCTACACTTCAGCACCTACGGCGTTTTGTTTGGTTGCTTTCTTGACGGTTCCTATCCATGCATTCCACGGTCGTTACAAAGTTTTTATACCACTCTAGAGACCCCCTTTCTGGGGTTTTTGCCTTCTATTCCTTTTTCACATCTTCGAAGGCGGTTCATTCTTTCTCACTTGTGATGCATAGCGACGGCGTTCTTTGGGTGCCTATTAGACGGCACATACAACTTCCTTTAATCATACAGCACTTGTACAGATCTAGAAAGCTATATACCAGAATCTCAGGCTATTATATACGTTTCTCAACGTCGATCATCGTAGCATTTGTCTAAATATACCTGTAGCTCTCCTTATTTGATTATCCCTTGTGTATTTACGCTTTCGCGTGCATCGCCACGCATTTGAAGTCTTGGCACCAACCAAAACATCCCGCCTGGCCTCAACTCACACTCAAGAGATGTAGATAGGCAGACATCACAACACCAAAAGGTATCGAGTTGTTGCTTGACTCGTTTAGTCGTGCCCATTTCAAATATCGCTACCATAGCCGACGCCTCTTGTATACTTACTCAAGCCAAATAACCTTCCTACCGTTCGAATCCGCCCGAGACCCCTCCATATAATACAACCGTTGACGTTTATTTCTATACCACGATTCACGATGCCACAGATAACAAACTACAGAACCATTGATATCGACAGTCTTGACCCAGAGTCACCCGCTAATTTCCAAATCTCTTCTCTACTTCCTTCAAACCTACCACCGCCAACAACATCCAGCGCCGCAGCAAGTTTGGGATCACAGATCAGACAGTTGCTTCGATCCGGGGACATAGAGGGAGCTTTACGCCATGTCCTCGATTCAGCTCCGCTAGGCGGCGATGACAGGGCAAAGGAAGTTCATCTTGCTTCAGTTGTGGAAGTATTGCAGGGTATACGACAGACAGAGATGACAAAAGTGCTGGAAGCAGTATGCAACGGTGAAGGAGGTGCTGAACGGGGGGATTGTCTGATGAAATACCTGTATGTTCGCAAATTCTTCCCATACTCTTCCTCTCTTCTTCATTTTGGTGCTTTTAGGAACGGTAACCCCATTGTTAACGTTTTGGTAAATAGGTACAAGGGCATGTCCGTACAGACTAGCAGTGATACCGGCTCTAAGTCGGTATCCCCACAGAGCACCGGTTTCTCACAAATACAGGGTCGAAATCTTGGAGAAGGCGGTGGCGGCCAACAGATGAGCGTACTACTAAGCTGGCATGAGAAGCTAGTTGAGATCGTTGGGGTTGGCTCAATTGTGCGTGTTATGACTGACAGGAGGACCGTTTAATGGTGCTTTTATGGACCTGGTACCCTTTTCTTTATCGCAGGATACTGTGTTGAACTTGATGAGTGTTCTATACTTATTATATAACCAAACACTGCAGCTCGTTCCTGTGATATTTCTACTACCCATTATAGACTACGTGGGATAAAGAGCTATGCGTGACTGTCATTCGATAAAATGGATGCACGTAGCACCTAGAAAACCGTTATTCTACCCGGAGGTTACAATACTATACATATTTAGGCACCCACGCCTATTCCGACCCAATTATGTCCTTGAGATTAACCTGCCCGCTGCCTCTCTCTAACGGCTTTGACTGTCCCTCTCCTTCTTTCCATCCTATCATGTATATCAGCCGGAAGGTAGCAGGTATGTTGCTTTCACCCTCTGTGTGCAAACTTCTATATATTGCCTCATTCGCCAGTAAAACATCTCTAGATATTGGTCCAGCTTCTCTTCTCAAGATTGCATTGCTCTCTCCCATTGCCTGAAGATCTGACATAAGTGCATAGGTATCAGGGTATTCCACCACGATATCTTCTACATCAACTGTAAGTAGCTTGAAACCAGCTTTGGTTAACAAGCCACCAATATCTCGTACATCAGCAAGCGGAGATACATGAGGGCTTACACCTCCTCTGCGCTCCAGATCTGCTAATTGTAAAGAAGTTCGTAATTCAAACAAGGTATCCCCTCCAAACATCACGGCCATAAACGGGCTGTCTGGCTTTAGGATAGAATTTACCTGCGCGAGCAATGATGGCAGGTCATTTATCCAGTGCATCGATAGAGACGAAAGGACGGCATCGAATGTGTTTGGTTCGTAAGGAAGGTTCTCAATGCTCGGAACAACCTCGCGTGTTATGGAGATTTGAGAATTAAACGGAAGGGATTCATCCCGGTATAGAAGATTCTGAGATTCCTCAATGCATGTTATTTTTGATATCCGGTCCGCTATTGTCTCTTCAGCTCCCGGGCTTGCGACGCCTTCGCCATTTGAAATTGGGATAGAAGTTAGAGCACGAGCTATGTTGCAGCTGTTTGCTCCAAGGTCAAGGACGTTTGGGAAATGTCTTTTGATATCCTAATAGTTTAGAATCCGTAAGCAGACTGTTATATAGTATCGAGAGCGTAATAGTTGATGCCACCATCGGTAGCTAAGATGACCTACCAACAATCTGTCACTCAGTCGCATTGCAACCTCGTCTTTCAAATAATCCACCTGCCGGCTGGTTTCCACATTTCTTGCTGCTCTGTCCTTCTGTAACAATTTTGTTCTTCTATTAAAGACCTCTAGAGTTGGGTTTCCCGGGGTTTGAAGGGCATAGCTTCTCGATATAAGGCCGGCTCCCCGTAGCAAAGGGCTGCGAAGGCATGGGCGGAGAGACATCGCGATCTTGCCCTAAAGAAATTACCTTTCTTTCCTCAATAAGTACTTATGATGGGTTCATTTCCCCCTAGTCATACTTATTTCCTGGGCAGTCGTTCCAATGGTGTGCTATGAGGTGTTTAAATAAGTGAAGCTCTGTCTCGCGCGGCTTTTGCTGCAAGCGCGAAATCATCAACAAAAAATCCACAGTGATCTCATCGTCTTGAAACGTCAAACCAGCACAGAGCTTATCAACGCCAGCAGAATCATTTGCTATAGTATACTCTTACTATACCTATAGGAAACACTGCAGGGTTTCCACTATACTGCCACAGGTTATTGCAAGCTAAACTGAGGCTGGTCAGTCACTTCCTCGTCTTGGGCCCGAATAACCGTTGGCTAACACCCTGGATACTAGCATAGAAGATCCCGTATATGACGCGAGATTGGCTATTCACAGTACAATAGACCGGATTGTACTTGACTATGCTATGATATATGTTTTCCAATACCGCATTTCCTCCTCTCGCTCGTGATGGCGCGCCCGTTCCCCTATAACTTCATATCTTGCCCCTGCGTCGATAGCCCTCGTCCCACGCCAGCTTCAAACCGGCTCTCTAAGGATCTTTCCAGTCTGAGCCTCAAGGCGTCAGATGAAGACGAGGATGAGCAAACTTTCGACCCGAGATCACGTCGCGCAAACTACTCCCTATACCCCCCAGAACATCTCTTATACTGCGAAGACTGCCATCAGATAAAATGCGCAAGATGCATAACAGAAGAGATCGTTTGTTGGTATTGTCCCAATTGTCTATTCGAGACTCCAAGCAGCATGGTACGGAGTGACGGAAACAGGTACGGCATATATCCTTATATGAATACGGGAGTAGGATACTAAGGGCATATTTACCTAGATGTGCGCGTAACTGTTTCAATTGCCCCATTTGCACATCTCCATTAACAGTCACAACCATGAACAATATGGAGAATGGAGCATCTCAGAGTGGCCCGTGGATTCTGTCCTGTAGTTATTGCATGTGGACAAGCCTCGACATCGATATAAAATTCGACAAACCAACCAACATACGAGCTCAATTGTTATCACTGAGGAATGGAGCAAATAGAAGACCTTCGGAAGCCAGGGTTTCGCAATTCAAATCACCACTCGCGAGCTTCGCTTCAACACCTAGTCTACCAGAAGAAGAACAAGATGATAAGCTGGGAAGCCCGATGTCCTTTGACAAGCCTGCGTTAGGCCATGATGCTAGGTTTGCGGCGCTGAAGAATTTCTACCGCACCCAGATTGCTGAGACATCGTCATCACCATCAGACCACCTGATAGGAGGTGACTTTGGGCTATACTCTTCGCCCAATGCGTTGAGCCGCATCATGTCCCTTTACAATACTGGAGTTGGCATGCATGGAAATAATAAAAAGAACAAATCCAGACCCCCAGTTATGCGTGAAGCATTAACGCAGGCAGAGGGGCTAGTTATACCCACAACTAGGTCTGAGGATTATATTATTGAAAAGATGGCTGCCGAAGGGTGGGATGGGCTGGCGTCAATGGAGCAACGGCAATTCCAACAGCCTTCTACACGATTTGTGGATGACTTGTTACCACTTCCGGTTCTGCTACGAACAAAGAGATCTAAACGATGCAAAGCATGCAAGCACATCCTTGTCAAACCAGAAGTCAAACCTCAATCAACTCGGTTCCGCATCAGGCTCATTGCCCTCAGTTATCTACCACTTACCTCAATTCGCCCGCTTTACCCATCATCGGTTGCTCTTCCGATCAACTTAGAAGCCCTTGAGCCGTTGAAACCAATCCAATTCCTTCTGACCCTCAAAAACCATATGTTTGATCCTATCCGCGTCACACTTGCAACCCCATCGGTGACTCCTGGGCCTGTTTCTACAAAGGTGACAATTCTATGTCCCCAACTTGACGTCGGTGCCAATACAGATGTCTGGGATGAAGCCCTCCAATCCGGAAGTATGCCTGATGCAAGATCTTCCCGCCATGGTATGGAGAGAGTTGCAGAAGCAGGCAAGGTATGGGACAAGGGACGCAATTGGACAACCGTTGCTATGGAAGTTGTCCCTGGCGCAATTAAGAGCAAAATTAAACAAGCTCAGGTGGATACGGATGATGAAGACCAAGGTATAGTTGAGATTCCCGTGTTTGTGAGAATCGAATGGGACGCAGACAGTGGGAACGAGGACTTGGGATTCCGGTCTGAAAGCTCTAAGAAAGCCGAGTCAGATAAAGTGAAAAGAGAGCTCGCATACTGGATGACACTTGGGATAGGGAGGATTAAACCTGATGGCCCCTGAAGCTATTTTATCTTGTTTCTAGCATGTGTGGCTAGCACATAGATACCCTGATATAAGCAGTACCATACGCAAATTAAAGAAGATACCCTGTTAACATTCTAGTAACACTCAAAATCTATGCTATGTGAGAATCAATCAGTTCTAGACCTCATCATTTTCAGTCATGAAGTAAACATCTCAATATTTACCCCGTAATGAGAATGTAAACTTAGGAAGTTATAGATTCATCAACTGATGCAATGCTCCATACATAGGAAAAATCGTTAAGCTTGTATTATTTTCCCTCCAAATAACGACGCCTTCCGAGATTCAATGGAGAGCGATACTTAGTGCGATACTTAGTGGTGTACAACATTTTTTGTTTTGCAAACATATTCCTCAGTTGGGTATTATTCCCAGTGTATGAGACGAGAGAAAAGAGGTAGCACCGCATCATATCTCCATTTCTTTAGTTCATTGAGACTGGTCCACGCCAAATATCTAGTACTCCGAAGAACCGCTCTGGGGGAACTCAAAGGCAACACCACGACCCGTCAATTTTCGGTAAACCTCGCCATATGCATCAAGACGGTGGTCAACACCACCGCGCTCCTTCTCGTGGAGAACAACCTTCAACAACTTGCTGCCGTCCTCCTTTGTTCGGACACGCTTACCAACAATCTCAACTGGGTATACAATATCTGAGAGGATAGCTTCGTGGACGGCGGTGAGAGTACGGGAGCGTGGGCGCTTTTGCGTCTGGCTGGTGCGGGAAGTGGTGGATCGCTTGGGGCGGGGGAGAATGCGGCGGGAAGCAATGATGATGACCTGACGGTCGGAGAATTTCTTCTCAAGTTCCCGGGTGAGGCTATAATTGATGTTAGTATGTCTAGGTATATGTTTAAAAGGCAACAAAGACTTACCGCTGCTGGATCTTGTGGAATCCCTGGAGAAGGGGGACTGGGACAAACATCACAATGGCCTTCTTGCCATGGCCAACCTCAACCTGTAATGGGTTAACCGTCAGTATATTTGACATCCAACTAAGACGTATATAACCCTCCGCAGCTGGTGAACTGTATAGATAGCATCCTGGACCGAGCAGAAAGCACCTCCTGGGCTCCCGAACATGTGTGTGTCATGCGACGAGACTCCCAGAGCTTCTATTCCACGTTCTTTCTTGTATCACTGCCAGGCTTAACTCCGCGCTCCAGGAAGCATCCCCAGTCACCAATGCACCAGATATCTATCCCAGGTAGGTAAAATAAGAAGGGCGCTGTCCTCCTTACCTCGCGAGCAGACACGAACTGGAGAGGTCGTAGAGCAACCTTCAAGTCCGGGGTGTTGGTCTCCAAGTCGTTGAGAGCGGTAGCCAAAGCCTTCTCGAGGTCGGAAGGGCTCTGCCTCGAAGGGCTGTTTGCGGCGATCTTGTTAGCAGCCATGGTGGGCAGACAAATTCAAGAGAGTTGGGACGGTTGATTTGCTGCTCCCTCGTCGTTCGTATGGCGGTGCCGGTGGTGGTTGTCGAAATTGAAGATGCTGAACTTATCTGGCTGCGGCCGTCAGAACTTCGCGAAAGTCACGATTTTTTTTAGACGCTCGTTTTTTCGTGGGGGAGAAACCCTCGCTTACCGATCGGGTTAGCATAATCACGTGATTCATAGGGCAGGCCGGAAGTTGGCGACCAAGAAGGACGACGACGTCAACATCAACGTCAGCATCAAGACCAGCGAATGAAGAAGAAGAAGACATTTTGACATTGGAGAATATGGCTACTATTAGATGGTTACTGCTAATGGCTGTCTGTTGAGACTGTTGCTCAAAAGCTATATCCGCATTACAACTACTTAAAACTCGGCATGTCATACATGTCGCTGTGATCTAACATGCAGTCTCGTCAATGGACCTGCTGCTCAAAAGATCCAAGCTAAAGAGGGGAGAACTGGACTCACCTTTATGGTTCTCGATAATGTACTTCCTTGCGCTTCGGATCTCATGCTCAAATGCGGCGAGAAGCTCCTGCTGCCGGATTCTTACCTTTTCGTTGCGCCTCGAGGCGCCTAGAACGGCTGCTTTGGCAACATGGAATCGCGATACCCTATTGAGCAGCATCATGTCAAATGGAGTGGTAGTAGAACCCTCTTCCATGTAACAAGCTATGCTGATACGGTCAACACGAGGCCTACCAAAGAGTAATCCCTTTAGCTCTGTTTCATATCCGTGGTAGTTAAAATGGACTGGACGGTCGGCAGTGAACAGAGCATCAAAAGTTTCATCCGAGAGTGAGTGCGGATGGCTTCGCTCTGACCCAAGAATCATGAGATCCGTAACGTTTACCACTCGGACACGGAGGTCAGGTACCACTTTTCTTAGTATGGATGCTGCGTGGATAACCTCGAAGGTGACTTCGGTCCCGATGCCGACCAGCACGACGTCTGGATCTAAACCGTCATCTGTGCTTGCGAAGCCCCAGACCGAACCCCCAGCTCGGCAATGGCTCTCCGCCTCCTCTGCACTGAGATATATTTGAGTCGGCTGCTTTGACCCAATCATAAGGTTGATATAATTCTTAGATTGCAGACAATGAGACAAAGTTGAGAGAAATGTATTTGCGTCCGGTGGCAGATACACTCTAGCAGCATTGGGCTTCAAGTTTAACACCGCGGAGATAAACGATGGATTCTGGTGGGAGAACCCGTTATGCTCCTGGCGTGCCCAGGTGCTTGTCTCGATATAGTTAATACTAGGTAAAGCGCGGCGCCAGTTGGTTTCCATCCCCTGTGAAGATCCTCAGCATCTGTCCCGCCTTCTTTCGAAGTGTGAGAAAAGAAAAGGACAGTGACAGTAACGTACCATTTTGTTGAACTTCGAGTACTGCACCATCATTGTATGGATGATCCCTAGGAAGCTCTCGTAAGACGGGAATATACCTGTCCGTCCTGTCAAACTATATCCCTGGAGGAAACCCTGGCACATGTGCTCGCTTAGTACTTCAATTACCCGCCCACCCTGGGCATTAGAAAACTGATCGCATTGAAAATTTCGACCCGTTTTCTCCAACACGGCACCAAGTTTGTTACTCTCCAGCTCGTCTGGGGAGAAAATTCGCATAGAATGCGGGTTATCCACCAGGATCTGGCCCATAAAATGAGAGATCGTTTTCATGGAACTTTCTTGGGACCCCTTTGGGACTGTGTAACGTCTCCAATCTGGCATTTTGAGTTTTTCAAAAGTGTCACACACCTCTTTACGTTGACCCATCCGCTTTGAGTCTTTCCCGGGAAGGATCGATTTGATATCGTCAATCACGTCTCCGTGCTCGTTGAACAACTCTTCAGGCTTATATGAAGAAAGCCATTCCTGTAACGCTTGGAGCTCCTCGCTGTCCTTTCCGGCTTCTGGCAGCGGTACTTGATGCGCTGCGTAGGAACCCTCCACGATCTTTCCATGGATGCTCTTTGGCCCTGTCCAACCCTACAAACAGAACCGTTAGCCATCCCACTTGGGCATATCATGTCATACAGAGCGGATCGTACGGAGTACTAACTTTGGGGGTTCGCAAGATCAACATTGGCCACCGGGGTTTCATGATTGGGCTTCCAGACCGGGCGGCCTTTTGGATCCTACGGATTTCTGCTAGTGCCCATTCTAACGAGCTATTCAGGTTGGTATCAATATCATCCAAGCCCTCCACGATTCGTGTCTGGTAGCCGAAACCGGAAAACAATGAGACAAGTTCTCTATCATCCATACACCCGTAGATAGTCCGCTCGCTAATCTTAAATCCGTTGAGATGAAGAATCGGCAAAACAGCCCCTGACTCTGCAGGATCGATGTATTTGATACCATTCCAGCTCCTGCTAGCAAAATTAGCGAAACATGCTCGACAAAGAAAATAGTAATAACTGGAGACTCATGCGAGCCGTTTCCCGGGTTGACTGACGCTGTACACGGGCCGCTCTCGGCCTCCCCATCACCTACGACAACAGCCGTTATCAGGTCTGGGTTATCCATTACAGACCCAAACGAGACGGCTAAGGCATATCCAAGTTCGCCACCTTCATGTATAGCTCCCGGTGTCTCCGCATTGATGTGGCTGCGAGGAACATATTAGCATTGGTTGCAATGGAAATTAACGTCCGCAATACGAGGAGGTTGTGGCTTGAGTATTGTCATCTCACCTGGGGAATCCGCCAGTGGTACTGAACTGGGTGATCAACTTCGTGAGCCCGTTGGTGTCGTTGGCGTATTTAGGGTAAAACTTTCCCAATGACCCTTCAACCCAGAGTGAGGCGAGGATCGCAGGTGCGCCATGCCCAGGCCCGGTGACAAACAGCATATCCAAGTCATGGGATCGTATCAAGTAGGTGAGATGGGAATACACGAGATTCAGACCGGGACAGGTGCCCCAATGACCTTGTCCAGTCCTCTCGTCAGCGAGGCGGTATCCTTTGATGTTTACTGGGGCGGCGAAGCTGTTTCAGCGGAGTTACGTACCTAGCAGTCGGGGTTTGATATCTTCAGGCTTAACCGGGCGCTTCAGGTAGGCATTGCTCTGGAGAAATATCATAGCTTTGATCGAGAGTATCAGTATCAGCTACAGTCCAACGGCAACTAACCAACTGGAGGTGAAAACTGACCCGCAGCAATGTAGTCTGTAGCTCGACGAAATTTCTCCAAGGATCGACGGACATTGTCATCCAGCTTGACTGTTTGAAGTTGGACCCTGAGCTCGTCCACTGAGTCTGGTAAATGGGACGGCGGTGGCCTCGGGTTTGGCCCATCAAGAACCTGGCCTGGCATCTTGATAACCTCTAGGTTATCTAGTTAAGATATTCGTAGTGTAAATATGTAACAATGTAGGCGTGGGGACGCAATACCATGTTATTGATGTGAGTTCTCGATATAAAACCACCGGAATAGTAGAATTAAATACTACAATGAGTTGTGCGTACTTGGCTATTAGGAAAACAACCGCCACAAGCATGGAAGCTTTGTTGACATCATAATGCTGGAGAAAGTAGGACGGATATCCCTGTTCTCGACCAACATTCTGACGTAGCTAGGATAGACAGCAGTTATATAGATCAAAAACATAGATAAAAGGACATGAGGTGGGAAGTAGGAGGTAGCAAATAGTCCAGTCAAGTCATCGCAACACTTGGTCAAAGATGGGCCGGGTCATTCTCTCTGTCAATGCCGGCAGCTCGTCTGTCAAGGCGAATGTCTACCATCTAAAGAATCCGCCAGTCGAAGTCGCCGCTGCCAGTGTGAGTGGCCTGACAGCACCGCCAAGTATCTTCAAGTACGAGCATGGATCGAATCATCAGAAGCACGAGATCGAAGAGGAGATCAAGAGTCCCCAGGATGCATTCAAGTACATTCTCAAGAGGCTTATGCATGACCAGGAGCTGCAGGTCGTCAGTAGTAACTCCGACTATGCTTATGTTTGCCACAGAGTTGTCCACGGGGGAGACCTAGAAGAAGAGGTTATTATACACGAAAAGACCTTCAATTATCTTGAGACACTGCAAGATCTGGCTCCGTTGTATGTGTGACAGTCAATATAGGCCCGGACGGACAACAACCGGCTAACAAGAGATCTAGACACAATACATCAGCATTGGAAATTATCAAGACGTGTCTTCAGGAGGTCCCGTCCGCAAAGTCGGTGGCATATTTTGATACTATGTTTCACCAATGCCTGCCAGATTACATCAAGACATACCCTATCGACCCGGAAGTAGCCAAGTCGAAGATGTTAAGGAAATACGGGTTCCATGGAATTAGCTTCTCCTTCATCTTGCGGTCTGTATCGGAATTTCTGAGCAAACCAGCCTCGGAAACAAGTCTAATTGCACTGCACCTTGGAAGCGGTGCTTCCGTATGTGCAATCCAGGGTGGTAAATCCATAGAGACCACGTAAGTTGTCGAATGCCCTGGTTTCAAAACTGACACACCCTCTTGAGATACTCTTCTAAATAAGGTGAATATGCGGCTAGAATGAGTCCCCTGGCTAACTATGCAATGCAGGATGGGTCTTACTCCTCTCTCTGGCCTTCCCGGTGCTACAAGGAGCGGAGACATTGATGCAAGGTGAGTTGAACATCCTGGGTGGTGTCTGATCCCCAAAGCCATCCCTTTAGCTGACGAGTTCGACAGCCTTGTATTTCATTATACATCCGAGGCTAGCAAGCTGAGCTCCTCAAGTACTAAAGAGATGCATATCAGCAAGGCAAGTACCACAAACCGACTCAGAACTGGTGGCGTTAATTACCCATTTGCTAATTGGTGTCTATAGGCTGAAGAGATCCTCAACAAGCAGTCGGGCTGGAAGGCATTGACCGGAACCACCGACTTCTCGAAGATTGGAACTGACAATCCGCCAACTAAGATGCACAAGTTGGCCTTTGACATCTTTGTTGATCGTATTGTCGGTTTTATCGGCAACTACTTCGTCAAACTGAATGGGAGTGTAGATGCCATTGTGTTTGCGGGGGGTATTGGCGAGCGAAGTGCGCTTCTGCGAAGTAGTATAGCAGAGAAATGCCGATGCCTTGGAATTGCAATAGACAGCAAAGCCAATTCCTCTGGTATTCTCAGTGAGGATCAGACTGTTGTAGACATCTCTGAGAAATCTGGCCAGCGGCCTGCAGTTCTAGTTTGCCAGACGGATGAAGCTGTAAGACTGCATTTTCCCTTAACATGGACTTCCTATTGACTCTGTCTCATTACATAAAGTATATCTTGGGCTGACGTTTTCCGTGGTCTAGTATGAGATGGCATATCAATGTATGAACAAGCCTCCAAGAGAGGAGCCAACGCATTTCTAGCCAGCCATGGCCGTTGTCACACGTCACCATGCAGGAAGCGCTCGACCGTTAACCGCGGATACCTCGCCCCGGCGGCTCAAGCGGCAGCAATCTTCCTTAACTATCAAGTTAATCTGGTGTAATACCCATTTCAACAAGGCTGTTCTGACCTTCAACAACTGACAGTAGTCAATTCTTGCAATAGCCCCTGGGATACGATATTACCCCCAGTTGCCGCGTTTTTTTCTCTTCACTGGCTGTGTAACTCGAGTCAGGGGCCGTTAACTTGAACAGCACACGCGTCTAAGCCACCTTTTTATCTTTTACCTCAGTTCAATTAATGAATACTCATCCGAATGACTGGCATGCCGTGCATTTGAAAACTTGTCAGGACGTTTCTCATAGCCATATGAAGACTCGTGGCATATCCGTCAGCCCTCATCCATCGTTGTTGAAGGTGTTGTCGGGGATTGATAAGTAACTAGCAGACTAGATAACTAAAAAGAAAAACGAATTCCTTCGTGAAACTCGCTGCACGAGGAGAATAGCCGTCTCTTCACTTGTCAGCCATGGCAGTTAGCCTTATAGGCGAGAGGCGCCGGTGGCGGACTGCTTATATATGTGTTCATTATTTTGTCAGCTTGGTAACCCCTGAAATACGGGAAAAACCAATAACAATTTTCAACAAGCACTCCTCGCCTGGTCTCATGTATATGCAAGAGAAAAGAACAATCATCATTCAGCGTATGAGATCTTTCCAGCTGCTCCTCTCCTTCACCCGTTTCGTGATTGGAGACCGTTATTTTATCTTTATTTTTTCATTTTCATTTTCCTTTCCTTCCTTTTCTTTTTTCTCAGGTAGTTACGGAGTAGCTCGTCAACTATTTCGTTAACGGTTGCCGCGGAACCTGCAACCTGGATCCGGGTACGATCTATCACCTGGGCTCTTCAACTCTGCCTTGGATATTTTTATACGATCCTTTGTATACGGACGGAACTCGCTTCCCATCATAATCTAACCGCCGATCCGTATCAAGGGTTATAAAGAAGAAAAAAAGCGATCTTGCATCAAAGCCGGAATCAACGCGATGTCCTTACGCAAACCCAACTCAGAGATAACCAGGCTGCGGCTGACTGATTGACTCGAGGGGCCGGATCCATTATGTATGTTTCCCGCTGCAAACCAAGCATGCTGCAGGTGCGGATGCATAGCTTAAAGGTGGAAAAACGACATATTGTACGTGCACCTGCATCGATCTTGCATGAACGTGCTAATCAGGGTTTGGGAGGGCCTTTTCTTTTTTATTTGGGCAGAGAATCGCCGCGCATGACTAGTGATGGGCCTCAACATGCCAACAAAGGAGAACAATGAAAGGCACCGTCGGGAGCATTAAAGAATGTGTCAGAGCAGACATCAGCAGGTTTCTTTTAGACATGATACCAAATATAGAGGGAACCAATTGTCAGTTTGATTTCGAGTAACCAACAAGTCTCAGGCGTGCTAAAGGGACCGGCGATTAGAGACCAGTTGGCGGGTGGTTGCAAGCTCGGCTTGAAAAATTGGATCCATTGCATGTAATTCCTTCATATAACTGGCATTTCACGGGCAGTCATTCTCCAGTATTTTGTTACTAGGGGCGCCGTAGGGCATGCGTTGTACCAACAGGCTATCGTTGTGCACTTGGAGTCATGGATTCCATTCTAGAACTCGTTTGAGACTGTGCACCAAATAGTCCCTGGCGCCCTTCTGATACTCAACAGTAATAAACATCGTTTACCACAGTAGTTGAAGCAACTAGAAAGGTATGGTCGACGGGTCCGTCATCAACTAGGCCGTTTCCCAAGGGTATTATCATGCCAAAGCCCGTACTCCGTAGAAAACTTCAGTATATGGTACTTACCGTAATCGTTGCCTCGATTGTATGATATCAAGACATGGCTGAGGCTAGGGCAAACCACAAGATAATTTATCCTGCGTGGCTTGAGATGTACTTTAAAGCAAAGGGAAAAGCGGTGGTTAGCCAGATACTTAGGACTGGCTTGATTGTGAATTTCAGGCTGAAGATATGTCAGCTGCTCATTTCTTGCTAAAGTTATCGATGGCCATCTCTTGATACTACTCTCCTGTTGTAGTAAATTGACTAGCCATGGCTATATTGAATGGCAAGCCAAAAGCTCTGCTGGACGGATATAACCGAGATATCGATACACAGATCTGCTCTCTTTCTTATATCAAGTTTTCACTTCCCTAAAGACGCACCTGGAGAAAGCCAGCGGCCAGGACTTAAAGACTGGTATTTCGATCGATCTCCTTTCCTTGTTGATGATAGCTGCAGTGAAAATCAACAAGTCAACCTGGATATATAATCAAATGGCCAATTAAATATTAGGATTAACGAGGGTATTTGTTTTATAAATGGCCGAGTTGCTTTCCTTCCCGCTACAAACTACCTGAGTGGCAGGTTTTGGTGGGAAATCAGGGGGCCATCCATCATCTTTGGGACAAATCCTCCGTGTATTACTCCTCAAACAGGAGATATCCGGAAGAAAAAGAAAGAGCCTGACGGGAAGAAGGAAAGAAACCAAAGAAAAATGATACAGCCACTCGGGACTGATGTCATCACTGATGTCTGTTTCTCAGAAAAGAAAAAAAATACATGTTCTCTCGCCCTGACCGGAGATTAGAACAGCCACAGATGAGACCGGTCATCTTTAATATCAAATTCTGAGCTCCGTGGAAAACAGCATTCAAGCTGTAGAGGCACAGCGCGAGATTGTACTGCGTTTGCCTTGAAAAGTAGGGCGAAGAAGCAGATATTTCAGCGGAAAAAGAAACTTTTAGGACTATTCTTACGGTTTCGGGCCTGCTCCGCGGTTTCCAGTTGATTGGAATTTCAGGCGTTTGGATCTCGAGGATTATCCACCAGCCGGGAAGGGAGACACATTTCCGCTGCCGCTGGTTTGCTTGTGGATATATAGTAGGCGTAGTATATATGTGTTAGCTATATATAAGTATGCTCTTGGGAGCCCTCTATGGGTTTATATTCATGGCACATCTGGAGTATAAAATTGCAAAAAAAAAAAAAAAAAGTGAGAAGCTGACTCTGGGCTGACTTTATATTCAGGGCTGGGTGATATTATGATAGATACGGAGTAAGTACGTGCCAGTCGATCGCATTGCAGAGAGATCACATAGTTATACGAGACCCAAGCAGCTCCCATAGGGGAGAAAACTAGTTGAGGGAGATCATCTCAGATCATTGAAGACGTGGAAGTGGGCTTCCGCAAGCCATTGGCTGACCGGTGGATAAGATATTGGATAGCAACAGCGTAGGAGACGCAAAGAGGCGTCTGAAAATTGAATTGGTTGGTCATGCAAACACCGAGCAATGGCTGTCCCCGGGAACCCATCATTCAGGTCCCTGGGAGCCGGAAGCGCTAACGTATACGCCGCCGCAAGGCAGTACGTGGTCTTCCTGTGGCCTGTGTCCGGCAGCAACAGCAGCAGCAGCAGAAGAGTGGAAAAGCTTTCGACTGGGCATCAACCTGGCAGCCTGATTTGCGATATCGATAGGACCGGGGGTGGGGAGAATCCCTCCCACATACCTAGGTAAGCCTTGGACGCTCGACCATAGGGGATCAGTGCATGTTAGGGCTGCGTTTTCATGTAGCTACTGCATGATAAGAGGATGTTCTCGCCCAACGCAAAGCAGCTTTACTGGCGCCAATCTCGATGGGGAGAACAACTCAGCAGCAAGCCATGCTGCTTGGTGAATACGTGGAGGGATCAATCGCTCATGGAGAGGATGCAACTTCGCCGTTTGTTTGGCTTAGGCTTAAACACGTACCTTGCAGAAACCAAAAGACCTCAGCAGACCAGGGCTGTTCGCAAGCCACAAACGTCTGGCCTCTCTGGGCGCGAGGGTGAGGCTCTTCTGCAAAAATCATGCAGCAGTTTCTCAAATATTGGCTGTATGTATACTCTGTACTCCGTACTTCACATATTATCTGGGTTGCTGATATAATTCGAGCTGCTTAAGTAACTAACGGGGGGCAAATCGATTTTTTTCGTGTCGACCTGCCCTTCCAATACGGAGTAATATAGCGAACCGGTAGCTAAGATGAAACCGAGGACTGGAATCCACCAATCTGGCAACGTTGAAGCCGGGTGTATGGAAAAGGGAGCCCCTTTTTTTATACGCAACTTCCGGGCCGCCAGTTGATCCACTGCCGCCCCCAACTTTCCCTGAAGGAAAAAAGGTCCTTGGACACTCCGTACAAGCAACAAGCTACATATGCGTCGTTAAGAGGGCTGGGACGCCCCTGGGAATCAGTTTTGTGGCTCCTTGCTTGACTGCTGCCCCCCTCTCCTAGGACGGGATGGGTTGGGGAAGATGTCTTCTAGAAAAGCCCTTCCCTGACGATCATGGGGAGAATTATGCTGCCTGGTGGCCATGATGTCCCGCTCCCCAGCGAGGATCAAAGATCGCCTCGTCCTACAAGAACACAACATGTGTACGGAGAAAGTGCGCACTGCATTCCCATAGTGCGTGAATTTGGCTTTCTCACTTTCTTCGATGTGGATTCCAGAGCCGTTCCAAAGCCCTGGGTGACGGTATTTGGTTGAACGCCTCTCAAGAGGAGCTAAGTGGAGGCAATGTACATCAATTGATGCACTATTCCATACGAGAGGCGAAAGGGCTCTGCGTCTAGTTGAGCCAAAACCGAGCCAAAAAGCAAAGAAAAGGAGGGGAGGAAAGGGCAAGAGCAAAGGAAAAGAAATCTGAGTGGTTTGGGGTGCAAAAAAAAAAAGCACTCTGACGCCCTCTCACACAAACACCAACCACCAAGGGCTTGGAGGAATACGATACGGCGAGAGGGGGAGGTTGGTCTGGTGTTGCTGAATGGAAAGATATCGCCATATAATTTTTATCGATGGCTTGATGGCGGTTGGCTTCTGGCCCGGAGCGAAGACACAAAACGGCACTAGCGAGGGCCCGGGATGGGTGGACGGAGTGGTTCATATTCTTTCGCCAACGTTTTTTATTTCCGCCCTGACAATCGCCCGGCCGTTGCGTACTTAAAAGGATAGGAGCAGCTGTGCTGTGTGGCCCTTCAACCTACGATTAAGTAAAGTGCCCGATTGCAGGGGGGCCAACGTGAGTATACCTTCCCCTTGCGCGTGAGAAAAAAAAAATCACATATATCCCCCATTTGATCCGCTTCCCGTAAGGCGTGCAACGTGGGATGACAGTTAGAGCTGGACAAGCGGGATCAGTTCGTTGAGCGATGATTAGTGAGAGGGAGCTTCCGAGACGCGGACGGGATGGGGGTTGCTATATTTCTCCACACCTGGCCATGCTGGAAGATTGGACATTTCATTAGCGTTTCCCTATTGCTTCCAGCATATTCTAGCGGCGTTTATTTGTTGGGGGTTCCGCGTAAAGAGGATACCTGTCGGGAGGGATTGAATCAATCAGAGGATAGAGACATAAAAGTAAACGGCACAATTGAGGACAAAGGGGAGCCCACTCAGCTGCGGACGGAAATCCGCCCAGAGCCACCAACGGCTTCAATCACCCGGATGTCCGCTTCATAGCCCTAATCGAAATTCTGGAATGTTACTATGCATGATGTACGGAGTGATGCAGCCAACGAAGAGGCATACCCTCACACCACCATCACCGCCGACCATCAGGAACAACTCCTCTCACAGGAGAGTACGAAGACAAGCTCGTTCTCGTACCCGAGGAACCAGGAACCAGTCACAGTCACACTAGCGAATCTGGCTTCCCTTGCCCCCTTTTTTCCCTACCCTTTTCCATGCCGCGTTCGCGTCCCAGGGGCCCACAACCGGCGTCTATAACAGACGATAAATGATGAGCCCTGTGGGGAAGATTAGCATCGCATCATGAGAGAAGAGGCGAGGTTTCGAAGTTAAGGACGTAGCTGTCCATTGGGAAGAATAATATTACTTAGCTGAGAAAATAATGAATCAGGAAAAGTAATAACCGAAGAGTTACGGATCCCTCTTGTATGATACTGTATCATGTTAAACCGCAACGGGAATGGGTTTATGCAGTATCCACGTGTGAATTCTCACACCGATTCGCTTGCTTTTGTTTTCTGAGATTGATGATAGACGATGAGCTGGACGTTAGGCTGCAGCTGGCCGAAGGACACGAACGGCCACGACTCATAACTCGGTCCAGGCAGATGTAATTTCGCAGTGTTCGTATTTCCGTGGGAGCGCACAGGGGGTTCTGTCTTCCCACGCCGGTTTGACAAGGGCTCCTTGGGCCTTTCTCATACGCTGTATAAGCTAAACAAAGATAAAAATAAAATAAAATAAAAATTCGCCAGCCCTGACAGAGCCGACTATGACACATGGAGTAATAGGTACTTTAAGGCGGGCGGAGTTGCCCATCGAGCCGTTACACTACCGCAGCGGGCCCGCTCATGTACATATTCCGGTGGTGTTATTCACAGGGGGTCATGTCCTGTTCCTGCATGGTCCCTCAACCTTCAGAATTTCAAATGCTCTCATATCGATCGGGCCTTCCGAGATGGTTGTCAGTTTTTCTGATTCCTCTAGGATGCACGCTGCTCCCTTCCAGTTCAAACGGTCGACTTCTAAACCGTTGGTGATTGATGGTTCCGTTTGTAACGGCCGGGAGTGCGTTTCGTCCAAGCCATTGGGTGATAAACTGCCGATAGACGGCGAGAAACATGTACAAGAGATGAAAAAGAAATACCGTCCCAAGCATGACTGATGCTGGGTTATGGGAAGCAAGGATTTCGATCTTGACCAAGTTTATCTCGCAAGCCCTCCTGCATGGTAAAAATATGTCAAAGTGTAGCAGCTTTGGTAGAAAAATGTGTCAGTATCCGCCATGCCATGTTGTAGAGATCTCCCTCTGGGGGATCCTCGGCTGGCATAATACTCAATAGTCTGCATCGATTGTAATCGTCACCATACATGATGATTCACGTAAGCTGGATTGGCGGCAGGGTGGTGTATGATGTGTGGCCAACTATCGCGGGCTCTGCAGTAGCTTGCGTTTTCTCAGCCAGCAACCTAAAAGGGTCAAGGACGGTGGCCATATCTTCTTCTCCTTCGCTCTCTTTCTCCCACCCCCCCATCTGGCCATGCATTGATAGGCGGGCGTGTGACTCCATAACTTGGCCCGTAGCCCCGACGCCATCGTAGTACATTGCACTGTGCCAGGCTAGAAGGGAAAAAAGAGGGATGTCTGAAGGAGCCCTCCAGAAAGCAGGTCCATCCACACCATGCCCAGACAGGGGCTATCGACTCAAGTCACAGAAGCTGTTGAACCTGGGGCCCAGAGATTAGGTTGAGCAGAGTACTAGCCGTTTGCTCGGATGATCTGGACCCAGAATAATGCATATATGAATTGAAATGGAAGCCAGCGGGAGACTTCTGCTGTGTATACTCCGTACGGGCGTGCACTAGTTGCAGCAGCGGCAAGCCGGCTTCTAGACCTATCGACCTCCTCAGACTTCTAGACTCTCTCTTCTCGCTCTCTGTTCTCCATTTTGCATAACGATACTCCGTACACAGGCGAGAGGGAGGAGGTTGGTTAAGAGAGACAATAGGTGGTCTGTTCATGCAAGTTATCTGTCGAGTGGCTAGCAGCAGGGTCTGATTCCCCTTCGAGACAAGATGATATATCGGATTTCATTTCTTTGACATGATCCGTCAGGAGATCGGCGTAAAGGCAAAGATGACTGATCGCTATGTCCTTCCCATGGTTGGGACGAATGTTGCCGAACCTGTTGTTATAATGTGCCTGTCCCGCCACACTCACAAGCCTCAGTTGAGAACTGCACATCCGGCTATAGAGTCCTCATCTGGGCTGGAACAGGCTCCCTCTTGTGGGAAGCATCCCCGGCCGGAGGAAGCGAGAGCTCAAGCAGGATGAAGCTGTGGCTGGAACTGCTGCAGCCGCAACGGACAGGAGTGAGGCGCACCATGGAACTTCTAGGGCGAGATCTAAATCGCAAACCTGTTCTTCTTTGTGTGTGGCCCGAGTTGTGTTCTACCTGTATGGTGCGTGATGTGTGTACGAATAATATACATAGCAGTTGGTTGCAAAGTAGCGAGCTGCCTGTTTCTGACGGCGTAAAGTATGCTTCCCGAAACAGCTCGACCTCCCTTTTGAAACCGACGAGCTAGCCAGGGGCAAGAAGCAGCGCCTGAGATCCCGGTGGAGCAGAGCCAATGATAGCCTTAAGTATATTATATGCTCCGTTCCAAGGGTGGTTTGGCTCTGGGAGAAGCTTTATCAATTTTCAATTCTGAAGTAATAAGGTAAGATGTAGCATAAGGCCCGGCACCAGAACCAAGGGTCGAGCAGAAGAGTTAGCCAGGGCCCTCCCTTTCTGACAGGGAGCTCCAGCGATAGTTATATCCACCCTGGCCTCTAGCAGCTGTCGAGCCTGTCTTCTTCCTAGCCACTCCTCGCGTGAGCTCTTTCTCCCTCTGCGGGTCGAGACACAAGAGCGGTTCGAAAGCTGACGAACACAGGCAAGATATCAAAAACAAACGAAGATCGAACGAGGAGAAAAGGGCCATCATCCCTCTTCTTCCTTTTCCTTTTTGCGTTCTCCGTCGCCTGTCCGCTTTGATGAAACCAACCCTGTCTGTCCTAGGCATCTACGGTAAGAATATGTAATTTGGATCCTGACCTTGGGCGTTGGCCTCTCTGCTCCAAGCCGAACCCGCCGGTAAGGTAGAGATGCAGCGAGGCAAGGCACAATCTCAGGCAAGTCAACGGCGCACACGTCCGCCCATTCGCCTCTTTCCTTTGCCTTTATTTTTTAAATCATGTCGATAATCCTGCTCAATGGAGCCTATCATAGTGCAGAGAAAAGCGCAGAAAAGCCTGCGTGGTCGAGAAATCATCTTTTTCCTTAGGAAAAAAAAACAATCAATACCCTTGCTTGCTCCCAGTATCTTTGTTGGAAGAGGCCGTGTTTCATCTTCTTCATCGACCCCTTTTTTTGCAATTCCACGTATTTTTTCCTTTTTTCAAACTTGACTCTCGCCATCCGCTTCTTTTGTAACATTATGAATCCTGCTGTTGATGAAGATGAGAGAACGTACGTATGTATGTATGCATCCCTCTTCTGTTGAGACCGCTGCGGGAGCTCGTCACAAACAACCTTTCTTCTTCCCACCGTGAAGGCTCGCTCTGACTCTGGCGCTGGCTTGACTTGACGGACTGACTCAATAAGCGGGACGGCGAGAAACAGTTCTGGCCATAACGCCGATTTGAGAGATGGGATAGCGTGGATAGCTCTTGCAGCTGCTTCTCCAGCTTATCACTCTGTCTCTGCCCTCGCTCACTTTCTCTCCTTCCCATTCTCTTGCTCTCTCTGCCTCTACCTCTGCTCCCTCTACTCCCGTCCCTCCAAGGCAGCACAAAGAAGGAAAAGAGAAGCCAGACTGAAAAAGCAAAGAAGCGGCCAATTTGCAATCTAAGGACAAGGTTAAAAAAAGGAACAATTACTCTAAGAAGGAAAAAGCAACGAAAAATAAGGGCAAGGGAAAAAAAAAACGATGGAGCTAGAGGCTTCATCTTACAGTGTTTGTTGAAAGGGGGTGGAAGTCCTTATTTTTCTTTTTCTTATCTTTCGTCTCGTTTCTTTTAGTTATAGTCAGTAATAATTTTGCTATATTTCATTTTTCATAATTTTTTTTTTCAACTTGGTAGTTAGCTTTCTGAGAAAGAGAGAGGGAGAAGGGAAATGTATATTAGTATATGAGACGCTGCTCCTCCGTCTTCTCTTCTTATTCTCCTTCTATCATTTTTATATTCTTCAAGCGTATTCACTCCTTCATCATCAACCTACTTCTTCCTCCTTAATCTACCTCTTATATCTCCAAAGGGGGCCTCTCTATTAGACAACTATTCCTCCCTCTCTCGTCTCCTATACGCCATCATCAACGAAGGAGCCAGCAATATTTGAATATCGTCTTGAACCTCCCATCGAACTCTTCCAGTGACCGGTTACAGTCACTTTCTCAGAAAAGAAAAAGAATATACAGACGAAACGAGAAACGCCCTATATCCAATACCCTCCTTTTTAACGCATTCAATCCTTTGGTGACTTGGACTTTTTCGTGGGAGGAAACATTTTATCCAGGATATAATTAACACGAACCAAAGCTACTCTGCAGCCAGAGTAGCAACGAGATTTGACGGTTATTCGTCTTCCTTTCGAGGGGGATATCATATTCAGCTCCAATTTCCGGCGAGTGCCGCAGGTCTGCAATCATCGGTCAGCTGTACGCAGCATCCCAGGTTAGTCATTGCCTTTCTGTGTTTCTTATATTATATTATACATCTATACCTGCATGCGGGTTTCTTTTCCTTGTGCTCCGGCCGAGGTATGACAGGATCCGATCCTTGTGAGGCTGCGAGCATCCCTGGACATGCATGAGAGTAGATATTCATAATCTTCTTTGGCATTTATATATATCTGCTGGGTGGATGCCTGTGGACCTCAATTAGCTAACTGGATATACAAACAGGTCAACACAATGATTATCAGGGATCTCTCTGCTACCAACATGGGACGAGGTGCTTATGACACAACTGGCGTACCAAAGCCTCAACCGCCTCCAAAGCGGTAACATGTCGCCTCCCAAGACGATCTTTTCTGATATCTCAACTTTTCTCTTTTTTTGCTCCCATCGATGCATACGTTCTGTTCTACATCATTTTTAATACTCGACCCTTTCGACGCCTCTCCTTTGTACGATCCTCTCGTACCTCCGACCAACCTCTTTTATTTGATCACCATGTTCCTCTCTCTCACTCCACCTGAGAAGGGCGAAGGAAATGGGATGAGAAAACGACCGACTTGTGACTGGTTGATGATTGGTCCAGAACAGAATTTCTTCCCATCCTGCCGGCTACCAACAACCAACTTTTGACACGGAACTAACGAGAAAAAAAAACCTCGCTCATTTCTTGGGGCCAGCTCACTCTTTGTTGCCTGGCTGTGCGATGAGACAACGACAAGGGGGAAGAAACTCTCTGGTTGATATTTAAAGGACATGCCGTACTTCTGGACCGTTGCGTTCCCTGGTCGACCTGCTTCCTACCGATTCGCCCGGCTTCGTCCCCGATACATCAACCTGCGCCCTTCCCCCCTACGCCATGCATAGTTCCATTGGTCATTTCAAACGCCTCCAACCACTTGACCGGAGATTTCAAAAAAGTTGGGCCAGCTACTTTCTCTTCTGGTCGCTTCGATCTCGCCCCCACAATATCCGTCGTCCTTTCTCGTCTTTTCCCGTCTCTTGATCCCTACCGCCGCCTATCTCTTCTTCCTTTGTTCTCGTTTGGTTCCAAAAATGGCTTTCCTCTTGGGTCTTTCTTCTGTTTGGCGTTTATCACATAGACGGATGGGATAGAATTGGCAACAACTGCTCTTTGGGTTCATCTTTTCCTTTGGTTGCGCTTTTATCATTTGTTCCTGTCGTTTTGCGCTGTTTTTTCCATTTTTCCTTCGGGGGTTATACCATTGAGATCTAGACTCATCGACTTCGCAGTCAAATTTCTTCCACTCACCTTCTTCGTCACCGGCTTCTTGCTTGCTTATGGGACATCCTTTCGGCTCGTCCCGCCCAATTTCGCCCAACAAGCGCTTCGCCGCATAAGGCTCGGGAGCTAACGGGATAGCATGCACAAGACCGTCTGTCTCACCGTGGCTAGCGGGACCTTCTGCACTTCCATACCGCTCTTCGGGATGTGTTCTGACAAGCGGGATGTTTGGTTGAATTTTCATCTTCACGATTCCTGCGCCGCCTTGACATTACTTTTGTTGTTCGCTGAAGAAATGCCTTTACGACCAGTGCACCATTTCCTTTTCACACTTTTTTCCTTGACAAAAAGCACTATCACCTTTAATAACCCCTTTTCCTTCGACTCATGATGTACTTCTATTGCCCGGGCTGGACTTCCCTCTAATATCAACTTTTAGTGACCTCTTTTTTATTCTTTCCCCATTTTTTAGCCTGCCTGTTATGTCTCTTCAAGATACTCCCCCTCTTGCGACTGCTTTTAATCTCCTTTTGGCTCTCTGTGTTCCCCCTGATGCTCTCTTTCTCGCTGTCTCTTTTTGACGTTTTCCTGTTGTTTGGGATAGATGGACCGGATAGACCGTTGTTGCAGTTGTTTCTGTTGTTGCTTTGTTTTTCCTCTTTCCTTGGAGCGTCGCGTCGCACTAGACAGCATAGCATAGGTAGACAGAACTATACGTATCGATCATCACTTATTTATATCTTCACTCTCTTTTCTTCCCTATCTCGCCGACTCGTTGTCTCTCTATCGTCCCTTTAACCGTCTTTTTGATGTCTTTTTAACCATCTTTACGCCAAGCCTGTCCGGCGCTAAACCAAATCGGGCGACCCATCGTCATCACCAAAAAGTCGAACTTCAAAGTCGGCAAAAAAGATGAACTTCTTCGCTCTTCCTCTCCTCTCCATCTCCTCATCGCCATCAGAGACACGATTTACCGGAACAAACCCTTTAGAAACAACTGTTCAGCGCTCGTGACGGATACATATACCCTGCACAGCTGGCCGGAAACCTCACGGAAGCCGATTCCCTCCTCCTTGCTTACGGAAATCTAGTTCTTGACCGAGTTGACGTCAAGACAGCAGAGAGGGACCCTCATTCCAGGCCATATACAAATCAAAGAAATGGCAGATTCAAGCTCAACACCCGGCCCCAAGCCCAGTAGCAGCGTTAAGCTGGTTTTACTCGGCGAAGCGGCGGTCGGAAAGGTATGTTTTCCGTCCGACTTACTCCCAGCGCTCATTCACCCTTTTTCTCTCGCCGGGCCTTTTCCATTATCCTGCCAGCTAACATAATTCTCCCCTACCAAATAGTCATCCCTTGTTCTGCGATTCGTAAACAATGACTTTCAGGAAAACAAGGAACCTACAATCGGAGGTAAGCCGGCCGTCGGTTGGGAAAAGTGCTGCCTATTACGTATCAACCTGGCTGACTCTACCCATAAACAGCTGCCTTTCTGACCCAAAAATGCTCCCTGCCCACCCGCACAATCAAGTTCGAGATATGGGATACCGCCGGCCAAGAACGTTTCGCATCTCTTGCTCCCATGTACTACCGAAACGCCCAAGCCGCTCTCGTCGTATATGACCTGACCAAACCATCTTCTTTGATCAAAGCCAAGCACTGGGTTGCGGAACTCCAGAGACAAGCAAGCCCCGGAATTGTCATCGCTTTGGTCGGTAACAAACTTGACCTGACTAACAGTGACGGCGTATCGGCCTCTACCGGTGACTCTGCTCAGTCCCCAGACGCAACCAATGAAGGTGAAGAGGGGGAGGCCCAAGAGGCCAGTGACGGAAACGACGAGCAGGATGACGAACAGGGCGGTTCTTCCGGCGGCGATGCCAGAAAAGTATCGACGCAGGAGGCTAGCTCGTACTCTGAAGCGGAAGGTCTACTGTTCTTCGAAACCAGTGCCAAGACAGGTTTCAACGTCGCGGAGGTGTTCACGGCCATTGCCAACGCAATTCCCGAGGCGAGTCTTAAGAGTTCCAGGAGCGGTACCGGTGCCGGTGGAGCTTCTGGAAATGCCGGCCTTGGTGCTGGCTCACGGTCTGGGGACGATTCGAGGATCAATCTTCGAGATAGAGGGCAGGTTGGTGCAAAGGAAGGTTGTGCTTGCTAGAAGAATTAATGTGTTTTAAGTCTGTCCTCTTGTTGCGGGTATTTTCTGTGTTTTATATGGTTTAGCCCACTGCGTTCCATGTTTTTTGCTTAATCTTTAATACGCATTTTGATTCCTCTACATGCTTCACCGTACTGCGCCCCTAAGTTGATGTCTCTTTTGGCGAGATGGTTGTTTCTGCTCCCACACGATGTTTCAGTGGATGAGTATACTCCAGGTACTTCCTTTCATCCACTCCATTTATATAACAAGAATAAAAAAATAGACATCCTGGGGCTATGGCACAAATGTATATATATTCGTTTCTTGAGCTGTGAGGCCACCAACCGAATAGCTAATCCTGTTATTTTACTATCAGTTTCCTATATGACTAGTGTATATATACCTCTAACCACAGCCTGCGTAATTTTGATGCTGATATCACTACACCGAGGGAAATACGGGAAAGAATCAAATAAAAAAAAGGTAGATAATAAAAACACTGCTACAATGCCAATCGAACAGTTACCGATGCTGCTATAACTTGAACATCAAAGAAGCCACGTCCTATCGTTTATCATATCGGCATCACAGCCAAAAGGGAGGAAGGTTAACAAGAGAAAGATGGAACGGCGCCTGTTCCTCCTGATATATAGATAGCGTAGCTGACATGGGGAATAATCTGACCAAAAGCATAGGGGTGCAATATAATGAGCCACACACGCTTCTAAATGTGAGAGGATGGAGGGGGTATAATGGATACTTTGGGTTATTATTCATAAAATGGTGTCTTCAAAAGTGTAGGTGATTTCGTAGTTTTGCGTGAAAGCTAGTTGATCAGAGTCCTTTACCAGTAGTGGTGGCAGTGGTACGACCTAAGGAAGCCTTTGGTATGTCTATCTCTGTCTCTACCAGTTCAAGCCCAGAGAGACTGGGATACCGGCGGCTAAAGTTTAACTCCCAATCTTCAGTAGAATTCCCTTGCGTGGTATTTTGCCTGGTCTGGCGGGGATGTTGGGGGGAGTTATACTCGCTGTTGCCTGTTTGGTTCGCGGATTGAATGCCAGTCCGTAAACTCTTGGGCTTCGGAGGTGCTACTGGCCGTTGGGAAGATCGAGAGGTAGCTGATGATGCCTGGTGTTGGCTTGTATTATATTTGAGACCAACGGTGGAGGAATCATTCTCCTTTGAAGAATGTTGGGGTGGGAAATCAGAAGTATGTGAAGGCACAGATGCGGATGGGTATCGCTGCACAGTCGATGAGTCTGGCCTTTCCGGCCGCGAAGATTCAAATCTGTTTGCCTGCGGGTTTGGTGCTGCATCCGTGTAGCGCCCGTATCCTGACGCCGTCTTGACAGGTGGTGGCTTCTCCGTTTCCTTAAGTAAAGACTGAACCTTGTTTTGGATCGCAGCGGCTCTGCCACCACTTCCTATACCTAGTCCCACCTGGCGCGAGGAGCCTCCTTCCTCTCGCTCGTTCAGTTGTGAGCGGTACTGTGCAGCAGCCTCCGCAACCCTTCGTTCCTCCATGGATAAACGGCGTCGTTCCATTTCTCGGCGCATTTCAGGAGATATGTCGTCGGTATCAGCATTGTCATAGCCACGGCCATCGTCGCTCATTTCCGTTACCTCGGAGCCGGTAATGGGAGTAAGGTGCTGGGTATCGTTTTCCGGAGATGGAGTCTGATTCCTATCATGAGGAGCATTGTTCTCAAAGCGGCGGAAGGCCTCTCCGAAACGGCCCGCGAGGAGTGTCTTGGTACCTGATAAAGACAGTGACGACAAACTCCCACGTTTAGAATGTTTGGATCCACTGCTGAGGCGCTTCTCGCGTTTTCGGCTCAACTCTTCCTCTTCTTTAGCTTTAAGGAAATCAATATCCGACATGTTCGATGGCTGGCTGTATTCGAGGTCATGATCTGTGAGGGATGGGCATAACAACGTTTCGTCCTCTCCAGATGAACGTTCGCGGCCTTTATCCCGAAGATACTCTAATCTTGACGCAACATATGCGGCAGTAGGTCGCGATTTCGAGTTTGCAGATTTTGAACGCGTTAACGGGTCTGCAAGGTCAGAAGCCGTGGGTCGAGTCCCTTCTAGTGATGGACGTGAGGACGCAGGCGATCTAGGGAGCTCTTCGGCTTGAATTGGTTTGGAGTCAAATCTGGCAAAACTGGGGCGTGTCGATAAGCTGCCACTTTGCAACCGGGGTTGATCATGGCCACTACTCTCGCGAGAACTTCCCGACGGTTGTCTTTTGTGTGATTGACTTGGGAATCTATGCAATGGTCTTTGGGACAAAGGGGGACTATCTGGTCGCTGGTTGGCCGGCGAAGGAGATGTCATTGTGCCAGTGGACACCATCATTGGTTTCTGTGGCACTGGTTGCTGTACAGGGACTTGTTGTCTAGCGGGTTCCGTTCTTAGATATGGTGACGATGCAAGTTTTTTATCTGCTAGTGAGTCTATTCGGTTGGGGGTATGGTGCGCTCTAGGCGTAGGACTTGGTTGTGGAGATGCTGCAGGTTTAGAAAAGGCTTCATCAGCAAGAGCATTTGTGACTCGTTTGGAAAAGTCATCAGGGTTGGGAGCCGAATCTGTATTTGCAGATTCAAAGTTGAAAGTGCCACCCTTTTCATGGAGGAGGGAGAATTGATCTAGCGTTGGGAATCGCGAGGAGAGCTCGTCTGTATTGGTGTTCCGTTTAGCTCCATCGAGTGCCGCAAATGGGTCGCCGGAAGTCCTTAAAGGAGAGGGACTGGGTTTAGATGTAGCCTTTTGGTCGGTAAGTTTGACTGGTCTTCCTCTCCTCATTGGCGCAATGTCCGGTATGATCTTTGTTTCCTGAATGGGCGGCGTGAAGGTGGCTCCGACCTTTGGTGCTTCCACTGGGGTAGAAGAAGGTAGCTGCTGGTTTCGTCTAGATTCGGAATGTGAACGGTCGGAGTAAATCTACGCACGAAGGAATTAGTTTAACGCGTACGGATATTAGATAAATCGTATAAGTACGCACGTCTCGAATTGGCACTTCTTTCCCCCGCATATGACATGTTTCACGTAATACCTGATAGATATTGGGCCGGTCTTTGGGGTGTTCTTTAAGCATGGTGGCTGGATTCATAGAATGTAGTGTTAGTTCAGAGAGATGCCTCGACAAAGGAAACAAAAGGAGCTGGCATACCAATCAAGAGTTTCAATCTATCAGAAAAGGGGGGGTAGGCAGGATACTTGAACTTTGCGTTCAAAATAGCCATCTGGCCGGCCTCATCGAACGGGGTAGTATAGTAGCATAGCTTGTACAACAGCACACCGAGGGCCCAGATGTCACTCTTTTCATCGATGGGCTGTTTTCTATAGACATCAATCATCTCCGGACTTCGGTACTGTAGAGTTGTGTGTCTCTGCACGTCATCCTCGATCAGTCTACCCTCGGCGGCGGAGGTAGCTGCAGGCCTAGGAGGAGCTGCAGAACCAAAATCACATAACTTATAGCATCGGGATGGACCGTTCCCAGAGATCAGAATATTTTCGACCTTGAGATCCCTGTGAAGCAGCGGGGGCTTGAGATAATGCATACAGGCCACACCTTCGGTGACGTCGCCAAATATCTTCAAGATCTCCGGTTCGGTCAATCGATTCTGTAGCCGGGTGTTCATGAAGTCTATCAGGCCGCCACCAGCACAATGCTCCATGAGTAAGAAGACCTCATATCCGCCGCCCTTGAGCTGTGATGCATGAGAATCGATGTATGTGACGATGTGTTTGTGACCCTTCAGCCTCTTCATCGTTTCCACCTCCGTCCTCATGTTGGCGAGGGATGCCTTGTCCGGGACGGCAACTCGTTTCAAGACAGCGGTCTCAACGCCGTCAACGGGCTTCGAGAGTCGAACGACGTAGACATGGGCAAATCCTCCTTCAGAAAGATATTTTTCTACCACGACTCGATGGCCTCCGACCTGCACCTTGGTACCAGCCATAAATGTGCCCGCCGGCACAGGGGCGGCCGCCATCGGATTGGCATTCATGTGAAGCCCCAGAGATGTAATTGTCGGTTGTTATTGCGTATGGTGTATGTTGCGAGAGAGGGTGAGAGAAGGCGACAGAGATCTGGGGGGCGGTGTATATATTTGTATAGTTAAAGGGGGTGTCTTTTCTTTGGTGTTCTTGTGTAGGTTGCTCCTTCAGGGGATCGACGTTCGTTCTTGTTGAGCGGTGATAGATAAGAGGGACAAGGAGATAGCTTCGGGCGGGAGGGAGTTCGACAGCCGCCGCGGCAGGCAACAGCAGTTATATAAAGCGGAGCCCGTGATACTCTGTAGGCCTGGGGTGGTTTACAGCCTCATCATGCCCTGCATCCTCATACCCAACATCGACAGCGTCAGCTTCATCAGCGTCATGCAGCAACTTCAGGTACAAAAGTTGATCTCGGGGCAAGCTCAGATGGACAAGATCTGACCAATCAAGATGCGTTTCGGCGGTGGATCATTTTAGTTCCGCTACATATTGCTGAGGTAAGCCTCGTTTTCCCGTGAACATGTTCATTCTTAGCGGATAATATAGTCGAATTAGAGGCGGCCAAGGTCACGAAGTAGACCGGCATGACTCCGGGAAGCCTGTCAGCCCGTTAGACTGTCTGTTGAGCAAGGATGGCCCAAGTTGGCTAGTTTACTCTGTATATTAAACGGTTTTGTTTCGCTTGTACCTGAGTATCTCTCTGTCTTTTTATGTGCTGGAGCAGTCTGCTTAGGTAATCAAATTGGTCACGGGATCATGTAATAACATTTTTCCGTAAGCAACTGACTAGTAAACTTTAAATGGAGGCTGACCAATAAAAACAGCTGGTTTGGTTCGCCATAATAGGAAAAATCAAAACAAACAAAAAGAAATGTCTAAAAAGTGGGCCTTTCCCTTTCCCTTAAAATTTTATTTCGACTTTCATCACACTTTATTTAATATCACAGCCTTTTGTGATGTTGATATCAAACAACGGAAGGAAAAACCAGCAAACAGACGGCCAGATCAGCAGCAGCAGAAGATGCAGGTATTCTATATACATTTATATTTATATATACCTCCGCAGTCCTCTGCCGCTCCTTTAGGCATAGTAAACAGCGACCTCCCACCAGATCTGTATGATAAGTAGAGAGTTCATACTATTTCCCTTACCGCTTGCGGCTTCACCTCCAGTTATTCGCTACAACGTGTCCCTCTCCCTCCACTCATCGCGGGCCGGTGTCAAGCCCGGCTTCGATAGGTCAACAGACTGCGCTGAGGATGGAGACTGGTCCGACAAACAGGGATCATTCGTGCTATCCGATTGGACTGCGGCCGCTGCTTGGGTGAAAAAGGGGTGGGGAAGAGGAGAGAAAAACACAGAGACATAAAAAGAGGAAGAGACAGGACTAAGAAGGGGAAAAAAGAAAGGAAAACAAATGAATACAACGTTTTTTCCTCCACGCCAGAAGGACGAACATTGACATGTTAAAAATAAATTGATATATTCCACTCTCCCTTCCAAGAGCCAGTTGCCGCAAACCGTCTCAGGTTCCCGCGTCAGGGCTCGACTTCTTTTGCCCATTTGTTTATCATCTCACATTCGCCAGACTGACCTATCTTGTATTCCCTTCGTACGGAGTATCTGTGCGGCCAATTGCCCTCAGCCTATCAAGGGAATCGTTCAACTCGAAAGTCGACTCGACAACAAAACTCGGCGGTAAGTCAGCGGCTGACATACCACTATTCCTCGTTTCTTGTGGGAATTGCCGTCTATACATACCACCGTACCCTTTCTCTTTGTGATCCGTTGATTCCTGTTTTGCTCATGGTTTATCCATATCTAGGCTTGAAGCGCTTTTCTCGCAAACGGAACGCCTTTCGATATCGATACACAAAAGAACGCACCACGGCGCACGAGGTTGTTGCACTCTTATTCTAATCGAAAACGTCCACCAAACTTCCTTCTCTCGTTGATTTCCCAAATAGAAAAAGGAAAGAAGTATTTAATAGATTTATTTGGGGGATAACGATTCAAACTGGCCTCGCACACACACACGGTCGCATGATGCATTGAGTGGTAGCTTTAAAGACTACAATGCATGAATTTCCTATTTGCATGAACAGAGATATACAGCGCCTTTTGCAATAAGCATCTAAACAACGAACAACAAAAAAGAGGGGGAGAGGAGAAGCCCAGTGTAGGGAATATTGTACAGCACCTGCTACTTATCAGATTGAAAAGTCAGGGAAAGCAGCATCCTGGGTGATTTGCTGTGTATCTGCAACCTTAGAGACGAAGACCTTGCATAATGGACGGCCCTCCACCACCACCGCCTCCTCATGGAGCAAATCCACGGAGTGACACCGGGCCTGGAGATGGCAGCAGGTACCGAAAATCCACAGATTTGCCTGAGGGTCCCTACGACATATTTGTCATCCCGCCCCATTCTGCTGGTGGTGGCTTTTTATACCTTCCCTCCCTCCAATGCCATACAAACAGCTTCCTGGCTGGGGTTGCAGTAACATTGATGGGAGTCTACTTTTATTTCAATGCCTTGCCCACCCTGAAGACCTGGTGTGCGACAGTTGTAGCCCGTGGTGGAATGGGTGTATTTCTGCTAGCCTTTGGAATTGGCATCGTCAGCTGGGCGATTGGCAAGGCCCAGGCTGAAGGAGTCTTCCGTCAACGGTCTCGCTCAAAGCCCGCCGCTTCTAGCAACGGAAGCACTTCTCGTGGACCCCCTCCTGGGCCGCCGCCAGGTGCTCCTCCCCCAGGCGGGCACGGCCCTCCTCCTCCTCCTCCTCCTCCTCCTCCTCCAGGCGGACATGGCCCTCCACCGCCTGGCGGAGCGGGCCCAGGGCCTGGAGCAGGCGGCGGCTCATATCAGAATTACGGCGGACATTATGCTGGTGCTGGGTTCCCTCCTCCGCCTAATCCGGGAGCTGGATTCCCCGGTGGAGGTGGCCCGTATCCAGGCGCAGGTGGTCCATATCCAGGTGCTGGCCCTCAATACCCAGGAGGACACCAATATAACAGGAATAGCTATCCTGGAAGCCGCCAGAGCTACGGAAGTTATGATTCTCCGCCCTCTCCAGAGCCGCATAGGCGTGATACTCGACGCTCCGAATCCCCGGGGCCTCCACCAAGACGTGAAGCACCACGGTCTAGATCTCCACCGCCTCCTCCTCCACCAAACCATGAACCCCGTAGGCCCGAGACGCCCAAGCCACAATTTATGCCCAAGCAACCTGAGCCCGAGCCAAAGCGTGAGCGTGAGCCTGAACCTGAACAAATACCTGAGCCTCCAAAGCCAGAGCCTCCAAAATCAGAGCTGCCAAAGAAAGAGGAGCCAGCACCAGAAGAACCAAAGCCAGCACCACCAAAGCCTGAGCCTCCAGCTCCTGAGCCTCCGAAGAAGGAAGCGCCCAAACCAGAGGAACCTAAGCCAGAAGAACCGAAACCCGAGCCGCCAAAGCCTGTACCGCCGAAACCAGAACTTCCGAAGCAACCTGAGGTTAAGCCGGAGCCCCCAAAGCCTGCTGAGTCTACTCCTGAGCCTGAACCTCTAAAGCCGGAATCTGTTAAGGCAGAATCAGTTAAGGCAGAACCCGTTAAGGTAGAGCCCGTTAAGGTAGAGCCCGTTAAGGCAGAACCTGTGAAGCCAGAACCTCCCAAGCCTGCCGAGCCTGCTCCTCAGCCCGAACCTCCGAAGCCAGAAACTCCTAAAGAAGTACCCACGGTTGATCCAAAGATGAGCGAGTGGGAGAAAGCTCGTGAAGACACGAGAAGGAGAGAGGAGCTGAAGAGAAAGATGGATGAAATCAAACGCAAAAGGGCAGAGGCAGAGCGCAAGAAGAAGGAGGAAGAGGAGAAGAAGGCCCGTGAGGAGCAAGAGAAGCGTGATAAAGAGAACCGAGAACGAGAGTATCGCCTTTGGAAGGAGAAGCGAGCTAAAGAAAAAGCTGCTAAAGAAGCTGCCGAGAGAGAAGCAAAGGCAGCCCAGGAAGCCGCCGAAAAGGAGGCCGCAGAGAAGGCTGCGAAGGAAAAGGCGAGACAGGAGGCCGCTGCAAGATATGCTGCCGCAAAGGAAGCTGCCGCTGCCAGGCGAGCCGCCGCGGCTGCCTCCGCCGCTTCATCAGCCGCTCCATCAGTTTCCTCCACGACGAAACTATCATCAACTACCAAAACCTCTCCAGTCAAGCCAAAGTCTCAGACAGCTTTGCTGGAAAGGCGGTCACCATCACCGGAGAAGCGACCAACTCCAAAGCCTACACAGGGCCGGCCTCCTTTTGCCTCTGTCAAGACAGCTACTACGGACGCAGAAGACGATGCATATTCATTTCGCCCCTATGACCGACCAAGATCAAATATTAGCCGACCTAGTCAGCCAGCCTCAGTCATTTCGGAGTCAACCTATGCTCCATCTCAATCCACAGCAAACACCACGCCTCCTCCATCTCAACGTGGACCGTACTCGACTAAGAATCCTGACAAAATTGTTATCCACGGCGTATACACATTCAATAATGCATTTATGAAGACCCCTATAGCGCAATTGGTATCTGGAGTGGGTTCAGTAACAGATGGACTCATTCTGCGAATGACAACTGAAGGCATGTTTGTTGACGATGACGTCCGTGGAGTAGCACAGAGAGAATGGGATATCAAGGCATGGACTATGAAGCTAGTAGAGGTATGGTGCCCTTTGCATTCTGCGAATCACCCTGCTCGCCCAAGCAATGGAAAGCTCAATCCCTTCCGATTTGGCAATTTGCATTCGTCATCCAAGCAGCCTAGCAGCGAGGATTCAGATGCTTTCGTTACAGGGATACTCCATACCTGTAAAGATCAATGCCGTTTCGGGGCGAGCAGTGCTGCTGACTCGAGTAGTTCTGTTTATCATAGCGCTGGCAGTGGTATTAACCAAGATATTCTACAGACAGCAGAAGCTCGCGGTCTGCACATCATCAGAACCAGCATCAGAGACCAAGAAGGCAAGCGGTTCATCTTTGTACTTGACGAAAGCGAGGCATGGAAGGTTGCTCTTGGCCTTAAGCGCCTAAGAAAAGGTAGTCAGGTTCGTGCTTTGGGCGTTTGCGGTTTACCAGCCAACGAAGCCGCCTCCATTCTCGGCAACCTGGGCTATTGAAACCCGATGATATCTTCAATCTGCTCTCTATCTCCCACCCTCAGCCTTTCTTCCCATCATATACTCCTCTACCTTACCATTCTATACCCTATTTTTCACGACAATGTTTTGTTATCCTGTTTGAATACTTGTTTGCTTCCCTCCTATTACCTATTTATTCGCCCTGGAGGTTGTATGACGGCTATGATCAGAGCATTTCATCTGCTTCATTTTAGCGATGGCGTTATGATTTTTAATGATATGCCCTCTCCTATGTCTGAGTCTCTTCTTGTTACTTGCTTTTAATATGTTGATAAAATGCCTTGATTGCTTTTGCCTGCAGCGTTTGACGTGACTTGGATGAGCAAACACGGAGTTCTAAAAGATTTTTATTTTTCTGGCTATAAGAATCAAGCGTCTTTTTACTTAGAGAACAGCTGAACATCGATTTTCCCATTCGTTGAAGATGTAACGAGCCCTTCTCTACTCCAGGCAGAGTGTGCCACCAGTTACTAGGTCTACGTATACTCCTTGACAAGCGCCCGATTTGCGTAACAGCAACTCTTAATAAGCAAGCAGCGCAAGTAACAACAGCCAGTCAGCGTTTCACGGCAGGAATAACCCTCCGCAGTTACCAGGGCGGTGCAAGGCCAGGCTGGGGGAAATGCGGCTGCCTGGTCATCGTCGTCAGCGCCCTCCTGCGGCCGTATTTTGATTGTAGGAAGCATCGCCCCCTGGCTCTCCGAGACTCCCGCCTGCGTATTATATTAAATATAACAATGCCCAATAGGTTGTCATACCTATCATACCTATCATAGATCCGCCTTGGTCGTCTTCAATATAACGAATATTGAATATTGGCACCGGCATCATCAAGCCAACCATGGGCAACCCGAAGGAGGCAGAGCTCGAGGAACAGCAGGCTCCCTCGCTGCCTCAGTACTGCGACGATTCAGACACCGTCATGGGCGACGAGAAGATATACACTCCTCCCAGCACTGCATCAAACAGTGGTGAATCCCACCCAGACCTCAATGAAGAGGTGGCCGTCGAGAATGCCCGTGAGAGCGACCAGCTTCTCCCAAGCTCTCCGCCAGGCTACCGTGACCATGTCAGCTCGCCGGAATACCAGCACGGTGATGTAAAGGTAGACATCAAGGATGACTGCATCATCAAGGAAGAAGACTCGCCTGAAGAGCCTACTAGGCGCTGTCGAGGACTAAAGCGATTCCGTCGCTGGTGGAGGGAAAGACGCCAATGTCGTCGCCGTGAGATTGGTGAAGCCCGTGAGCGGCCTTGCTGTGTGAAGATATTTATCGCCTTGAAGGCAGCCCTTATTGTCTGGCTGTGTCTTTGGCTTGTCCGCTGGGCTACCGTCAGCTTCATCAGGGTAGGTTGTTAGATCTAGGGCCTTTCCCCTTAACCAAGCATCACAGCTACCTGATTCTACTGTCGATGGCTAACGTTAAACTTCTCCCAGAGGCATCATCGCCACCATCATCAGCACTCTGTTGGATACCACAACCACGGCTTTGGATGCCACTCAATATCTCCCCGGGAGATCATTGTTCGAGAAAAGGAAACCTGGATCCATGGAAACTACCCTCTTTACGACTTGCTCGACCTCAGCACTCGTAGTGGATCAATTTACGTTACGATTGATCCTCAGCCAGCACATCCAGACGATCCGACTCGCCCTGCAAAGGTCTCTATCAGATCTAGAACTGGTAATGTCTTTGTGAGGTTCAGGATGCCCAATGATGACGCAGTAGTTAGCGATGCGTTATCTACATTTGTTGATGCCAAATCTCAGCCTTCCCTCTTCAAGGAAGTCTTCTTAAAAGATCCAGCTTTGAGCCATCATCCGTGGCAATCGAATTCTTCTTCTATACCCCCTCGCCCATATGAGTTCAATATTGAAACAAGGAATGGAAATGTGTTCGCTGTCCTTGGGTTTTCTACCCATGCTGCGATCAAAACCCAATGGGGTAATATCAACACTCACCTAACTCCCCTCGTCTTTGAAAACACTACTTTCTATAAAAACACGGAATGCAAGGACTGTGATGATATATCGATAACGACTCATACCCGCTCGGGAAATGTGTTCCTGTCAGTTACTGAGCCATCCTTCATCGCTTCTGAGAAGCCCGAACACGTACCGGGGGATACAGCTAGTAACGCCCCCAATACCAAGATGCGTATAGACCCTCGATCTCCGGATACCAACATTCAGAAAGCATGGGACCGTATTCTGAAAGCCCTTAACAAGACACCCGACCATTCTGAGGTCAAGGCTTGTTCCCATTCTGAGCTCAACGTCAGCGCCTATCACAAAAGCTACAATTCGGGCAACATGGCCATTTCCTACCCTAATTCCTGGGCCGGTCGTGTTCTTGCTATGACTTCCCGCCGTGGAAATGCCGTTCTTCGTGGTAAAGGCCTGGAAGTTACTGGTAGATCTCCGGATGGTAGAAGTGCCCTTGCTGCCAAGAAGCCTACTATTGGGCATGACGACAAGAACAGCTGGTGGGGTAGTGAGGGAAACATGCGTGTGAATCTGGATGCGCTCAGAGGATCCGTGGAGTTTGATGTAAGAGATTAAAGGGGATAAAACGATACCTACAAGGTAGCCACTTGTTATCATTCACTCTCTTGAAGCTTCTCGTTTGGGTTGTTTTATTTCACTTAGTTGGCAATTTTCTTACTTTAAAATCGATTGACGGGTATGATATCTTGGAGGATCAACTGCCCGTCATTCTATACCTATGGTTATATTTATTTCGTACTAATATAAGTCAACCCATGAATGGTAATCTTTTGACCTCGAATGTAAATTAATTTCCTGAAATAAGAGACAGCCTTAACTAGTTAGTTGGATCATTTGTCAAGTTTTGTAGGGCAGAGAGACCATCAATATGTTGGAAATTTCTTTTGAACATATTCTGGTTTGCATAAAAAAGTCTGGAGATAGTATATGTTCAGGAATATGGGAAAGGATACGTATAAGCGGATCTGAGGGAATGTTCTACCACCGTAGATTGACAGATAATCTAATACTTGCAGGGAAAGAAATTACGGGCATAAGATGATCTCTCTTATACTGGATCAATCTGCGCTTCAGATTGTTTATTCGCCATGCTAGCTGAGGCACTTGACTTCTCTGTCATTTCTCTTTGTGAAATCACTTCGTCCATATGTATATATTCTTCAGGACGATTGAGCTGGGTAGCAGCTAAAGGAGTAGAATTAGCATAGAAAGCATATCAAGTAGAAAGATGAAAGGCTCACTCTTATCAAATGCAACAATTATACCCCTATTAACCTCGAAATACCGATCAATATCTTCCAACGTTCGATTTGCCGTCTCTGGATAAAAAAGATACGTCGTCGGAATGAACGAAAAGCATATCACCGCCCATATAATCCAGAATCTCCAGCCTAGATTTTCAATGCCGGGAAGGGTTATCTGTACGACCATATAATTCTGCGTAATCCTCGTCAGTTGGGACAAACACGGTTCATTGGGGCAGAACGGTTGTGTCTTTACCATAATCCAGTTCGTTGCCATGGCCAATGATGCTCCTTTAGTCCTCATTTCCAAGGCGTTTATTTCCGTTGGGTATAGCCATGGGACACCAAGTACTCCCAAGCCGAAGCTTGCAAAGAAAGCAAAGAAGAAAGCCACAGCCACTATTCCAAGCTTGTAATTATCTCCGCGGCCATTTTCTGACAGAGATAGGGAGATGGTGATTGCTATGAAACATAGCGAGCAGGCTAGAGAAGAAGCCATCATCACCTTCCGGCGGCCATAACGCTCAATCAGGAAGTAGGCGAGGCAGGAGAAAATAAGATAATCAACGCTCCCCGCTGCTGCTAGTATGCGAGAAAGAAGCGGTGAAAGACTGAGGGCATGAATGAAGACGTAAGACATGTAATAACTAACGAGCGTAAGCATCAGTCCATACTTGAGAAGGCCCCAATGATACTTACGAGGTGACATTGATACCAGATATTTGATTCATAGCTTGCATCCATGCTCCTAGTATCATCCGCCTAAGGACACCAGACGGCCCTATAAGGTATCTATTAGATGTGTACGTCCTAAGGGGTATCTCGGAAAAGTCACCTTTCCCTATAACCAGTTTACTCCATGTATAAGAGTTCAGATTCTCCCGATCTAGTACATCTTTGATGACATTGAATTGAGTTTTGACAGAGTGAGAGCTGGATGTTGCTCCGTTACCTTCCAACGCAGCGAGTACTTCCAGTGCTTTGCTATATTCACCCTTGCGGATTAGTAGCCGGGGAGAGTCTGGTAGGAATGGGCACGTGGCGTATATGCAGAGAGTGAAAAACGCCTGAAATGCTAAGGGAAATCTCCACGCGACGCTCCCTTTGGCAAAAGAGAGCCCCAAAGTTAACCAGTTTGAAATAGAGAACCCCATGATACAGTTTGCCTAGGCAAATTTAGCCGATGTGTAGCTAGCTAATAGGAAGACATCTGGGATATATTCCTCTCACCATCTGAATGATTACAAGCTTCCCTCTACTATTCATTTTGCTTGTTTCGGATTGCCATACTCCAGCTGTCGAGGTGTTCATTCCAGTGCCTAGGCCAGCAACTACTCTTCCTACCATCATCTGAGCCACGCCGTAGGCAGAAGCTTGGATGATGCCGCCGATAGCAATGATGGTGCTACCAACCACGATCTGACGGGGTCTACCAAAATAGTCCCCAGTCCATACAGTTGACATGGCGCCAATGAAACACCCAATATTATAAACAGATGTCATACTTCCTTGTAAATTTGTGGATGGGTGGCCCATTGTTCGCAAGAAGTCCTCCCCAATTAGGACATTGCCGAATACCCCCTATATCGAACTTAGTATAAGTTAAGCAAAGCCAACAAGTGCCAAACAGACCTGGTCGTAGCCGTAGAATATGAGGACAGTGGAGGCAGCTATGGATATCCATACGGTGAGCTTATCACCAGATTCTCCAAGATATTTCTTTGCCATTGCTCGTCTTGGGTGGTTAAATTTGGTATCATTTGACTCAATTTGCAAAGATAACTGGGGTAGCAGGTTTTATGTATAGTAATCACTTGCGGTTGGGTGTCTGGCAACACTGAGAAGTTGGTAAACAACCCTGCTGCAATGCGGTGTAACAAGTTCCCGAACTGGACAGTGGAAGGATAGATCGTCAGTTAAGAGCCACCAGATTGAGGAAGTCGCATCGATTAAGTGACTTGATCTCCATCGTTGTTACTGGCATTCTAACCGCAGCTATCCTCGTTGCCTCCTTCCAGTCGCAGATCTGGGTAGCTGCCATGGTCCTGCTATGATTTTTGGCGGCCAATCCCTACCTAGGTACCTCTTTCGATGGGCGATCTCGGGTTGTACAAAGAAACAACAAGTCATAAGTACCGATATAAATAACTATGCAAAGTAACCAATAACTTGCTCATAAGGTCTCCATATAGTCGGCGCTTTGTTAGAAGGATGCATCGATAAAACCCTTTTCATCAGGTGTTGCGACTTGCCATACGCTCCGTTTAGGCCAGTAGTTATTCTAGGAGAAAAATGAGTTTAATATATCCATGAGCATCATTGACAGAATGGTTGGCCATGATTCCGACTTTAGTCGCCCACGGTTATACTCCGTATTTGCAGCACATAAACGCGCAGACATATGACAGTTAAACGGGCAGATCGCTCTATTTCTTCCACCAGCTGTTTGGACGTCGCTGCAACAAGCTAAAAAGTACTCGGGGATAAGGCCGAAGTTGATATGAGTGGGCTTAGTAAGAGAGCTTGTGAAGCTTGGCATTTCACGTGAAACTTTGTTTACTTTTCAAGGAGCCTCAACATGTTTTAAAAATAAACAAGACAGGTTTAAAACGTGTTTTTTGTCTCTACGCCAGAGCTATTCTACGTAGCTGTATGAAATCTTCGCTCTCCATGCCTATTTTCTACATATTACGAAAGTAGGAAGCAAAGAATTCACTTCTCATTTTGCAGCTTTACCTCTCTAAGCTATTTCAAGCCTCATTTCCCCTTTCGTTATCTGTCGATTCCCCTTACATCTAGTGATAAAACATGGCATCCTTGGGCGTGGAAGTCCATATTCCTTCGCTCTCAATTGACCGAGATGCCTATGATGACATAGAAATGTCTTCCAGTGATGCCGGATGCTCCTCGAGTGATGAGGAAACGCCTGCCAACGGTCAAAGCCCCCTTTCCCGAGAGATAAAACCGGAATTGCCTGTTGTGAGTAAAGAGTTAGAGGAGCTGGAGAGGAAATCGAATGAGGGCTTTCAGATTCTCGAAAAGTTGGAGGCCATATTGAAGAAGTATTCTTCTTCCACTAGAACCAATGAGGCTCTTCGGAAACAAATTTTGGAGACTATGGACCAGGGCAAGAACCACCCCACAGTCACAATTGGCGTAGTTGGCGCCACTGGTGCAGGAAAGTCCTCTCTAATAAATGCTCTTTTGGGAGAGAAACGCTTGGTTCCTACCAGTGGCATGCGTGCATGCACAGCAGCAATAACGGAAATATCCTACGGTAACGGGCCATGGAGATATGAAGCTGAGATCCAGTTTATATCTAAGTCTAGTTGGGAGGAGGAGATGCGTCTTCTATTTGAAGACATGCGGGATGGGCTTGATGACCTTCCCTCAACTTACGACTCTGACTTTGGCGTAGCATGCGCCAAATTTAAAGCTGTTTATCAGCTGCCTCTCCAGGATACCCAGACTATATCCATTGAAGACCTCATGAGAAATTCTAACGTTGCGGCGGTTCTAGGCTCGACGAAATACCTTTCGGGAAACAACGTTCTTGAGTTCTATGAAGAACTCCGTAAATATGTGGACAGCGAGGACCCCTCCCTGGTCTCAAATCAGGATACCATCGATACCACGCATATGATACCACAGAACAAACCTATGCAGTTATGGCCCCTTGTTGAGCTGGTGCGTCTACGTGTCAAATCACCCGTTTTGTCAACTGGTGCCGTGCTTGTGGACCTCCCAGGGTTGCTAGATGTCAACACAGCCAGAGGAACGCTGGCTCAGAAATACATAAAAAACTGCTCTGGTTTATGGGTTCTAGCTCCAATTACTCGAGCTGTGGATGATCATTCGGCGAGAGTTCTGCTTGGAGATGGCTTCAAGCGCCAGCTGCAACTGGATGGCGGAATGAGCCAGTTAGCTTTTATCTGCAGCAAGACTGACGACATCAATCTGTCAGAGGCAGCTGACGATCCCAGGTTGAAATTGGCTAAAGAAACCCTGGAGACCTTTCAGAAAGAAAAAGGAGAGTACATCAAAAGTATACGTAAAAAGATTTACAGCCTTAGAAAGAGGGACAAGCGCTTAAACTCGAAACTAGACAAGTTGGTGGATTTTGCAATTCAGAGCGACAGCGAAGTTGATAACCCTGGTGAGCTAACCAACCAGAGCCCACCCGATCAGGGTTTCATGAACATATCCCCGTCACCCAGCCCTCGAAAGGCCGAGTTGTTGGTTTCCAGGAAGAAGATGAAAGAAAATCAAGCCACAATTAAGGCTCAAACCCAATCTCTAGAAAAAGATGTTCTTTCTTACAAAAACCAGATAAAACTCAAGACACGTGAATTTGAACGTTGCTGTATAGAGAAACGAAATGAATTCTCTGAGATCCGCATCAAGGAGGATTTTGTTACCGGATTCGCTCAGGCTAGCATCACTAGCTATGATGACGGCAGCGAATGCGCCAGTGAAGTTCCATCTACCAAAGAGAAGTTGCACGTTTTTTGCGTATCTGCAAAAGCATTTCAGATATTGGAAGGCAGACTGAAGGAAGATAAGATAGCGAAAGGTTTTATAACCACTGAGGATACTGGAATATCCCAACTTCAGAGATACTGTTTGAATATAGGTGTCGCAGCCCGTACAGCAGAACACAACAAATTTTTGAATAACGTTGGACAGCTGGCCAATTCCGTGAAGCTTCAAGCGTCGAGACATGTTGACTCCCTGGCAACACAGCATAATGACAAAAGATTACTAGGAGAAGAACTCGAGACTCTCAAGGACGTAAGCGTTATCTTGTACATTCATTTTTCTACTGGTACCCGCTGACTTTAGTTTTCAGGCTCTCGGTACTACGGTCCTCAACATGTCAAAGGCTCTGTTGGGAGTAAGACAGCAACTATACGCTGATCTTGGTATGCCCAAATTCCCAATTGTGGAGTGAATTGTGAAATTAACACCTGTAGATCATGCCGCTGTTACAGCGATTGCTGCTGCCGATGGCCCTCCGTCTCGATGGAATCGGGGCAAAAAGAATGGGGGCATTGCGCACTCGACATACAAAGCCATCTGCCGGAGATCTGGTGAATTTCGAGATGGTAAAGGCAAGAGATACGTAAGTGAACTACACAATGTTTCCCGGCGCTTATGACGCTAAAATTGCGGTAACAGGACTGGGGAAGAGAATTGTAAGGCTCTCAAACAACTATCATGATTGAGGAATGAGACTCACGTTTACAGAGCTGAACCAATGATGGCAATTATTAGACCAGCGTGGGAAAGGTACCCTAGATATTTCTAAACTTCAGTATTCTTCACGGCATATGCTAATTATGATCCAGGGCCTTTATCAGGCAAATCCCCCAGTTGCTTAACAAAATCTCGGATTCTCTACGGAGAGATATGGGTGAATTTCACAGAAGTGTGATGAGGGACGTTCGAACCCTCAGCCAAACCAATTCAAGGACCAATATCTTAAATGACCAGTGCCTAATATACAAAGAAAAAATTAGGCAAACAATCCATTTTGTCACTGGCAAGATGGATTCCAAGCAGAAGGATCTAAACCGTATCTTTATTCCAACCATCACGCTGGCCTTAAGGCCGGCTTACAGTACAGTTTTGAGAATCAAAGGTAAGTTTTGGGCCTTCGCAGGACACTTTTATAACAAACTAAAGCAAGCTTATTTTTAGGTGCTGGTTCATTTGAGAAAATCAAAGATACCATTGCTAATTGCGTGGCTGATTCCAAGTACGACATGTTCCATCGGGCTATTAACACAATAAAAGTCGAGCTCGAAGAGTTCGCTAATGCCCTTGTCGACTTGGTTGGCCTCGACGTGGAGAATGTTTTCGATGGTATGAGCGAGGACTATTTGACAGACCTCAAAAACTCAAGCGAAATGGAAAAGCCTCTTAAGGAAGAGCTCATTTCATTCTTGAACAGCACATCACTATTTGGCGATCTTGCAAAACACACTGACAATAACACGCCAAACTCTGACTTCAAGCCATTGGTAGCAATTACTATGGACAGCTCTAGTGTCAAGACTGAACCAGAGTCCATGGATACTGATGAAACGTTCAGCCCAACCATTGACTGAATGACATATTCACCAATTTGTCACCCCCTTCCCCCTACCTTCCACCCCCTCCTTCCCCCCGCCAATACCTCCTCCGTGCAGTATCCTTGGCTTTTACTCAAAAGAACCTCATTGTCACAAAAAAAAAATGCATTTCCCGCGGCCTCCAAGGACTCGTGGTATTTTGATATACAGGCGAAGACATGTCCAAGATTTCAAATCTATCCCATTTCCCTGTACCAAAGATACCCAATGAAAATGCCGAGCAAATAATACCTATACAAGGTTTACTTTTACTCCATTGCGATAAATGGCTATCGTTACTTCTCATCATCGGTTGACACCACTATTCTTCGTAAATAAAATGACAGAGAGCAACAGGGAACCCGCTACTTTACTGATTGTAGTACATATATGGTAATTGGGAAGAGACTTGGATGCATGAATTCTGATACTTTGATACAGTTGACTCCTCAGCTTATCCCCTGGTCTGTTAGGCATGGCTAACCGCCGTCGACAGGACCATGTCCACTGCAACTGTTGCAGTTTCATCATCATGGGGGAATTGATAAAAATATTAATAGAACGAGAAATGTAACTAACTAGTTTGATCCACAGCTCTTCTGATATAAATTTAGAACTGCCGAGGAGTTGGATGACCATGATCGACGGACACGTCGTAGCAACCAGTAGTTGCATATGGAGTAGAATAACATTCTCGTCCAGGAAACTTCATTAACTAACTATTGAGACCTAGGTAATTAACTAGTTGTTTGTCTAAACATCAAATGTTGGCTGCCACCAAAAATAGCAACAGGGCATCGGCTTTTTCGTTTGTTCCGGATGACAAAACGCCCTGCAGAGATCCATATGGTAACTCTAAAGGTAATGCAAAGATGTTTACTAGCCCCAAGCCTAGTTAGGCTGACGGTCATCAATGGGGAGGCAAGCACCATGAATAGGGAATGACTGCATGGCCTGCAACAGCGGAGGATGACATGGGTTCGCAGAATATGAGAGCAGACGATCGTTTTGATGCTGTGGAGAAGAAGAGACGGCTTCAGGAACACTGGTGATTGGACTTTGTTCTCCGTCAGAAGCAGCAGTGGCGGAAACCCAGACAAGGCCTGCGGGAAGAGATGCATACAGTCGCATCCAGGACCTGCCAAAAATGCTATATCCTGCCTAGCAAAGCAACAAATGAACGACACGGCGGTTAGAGCAAACTCAGAGACTTGGCCCCCCTGTTGTCCGTGTGCGAGTCAACAGGGGGGATGCTGGACGTGGGCGCTTCCGTCCCTCTTCCGTGCATGAAATAATAGCCTGCTGTCCCGGGTGACGATGCTTGATCCAGAAGTGTTTCCCAATCACAGCACTCGTCGGCGCTCTGGCCTGTTGGATCCCTCGCATCAAAGCCCTTTTTACCTTCCAGCGGTAATACGAAGGGTTGGAAACGGCGCGAGCTGACAGGCCAATTCGCTGCGTTGCTATTTTTGGACGCTGGACGTCGGCGGTTAAAAAATGCTGATATTCAGGTACCAATCGAGACCTCAATCCGGTTGACCCCCAAGCCATCCCTCTCTTTCTCTTTCCCTTTTCCTTTTCTTTTTTTATTCAGCTAACTAAATAACTACTTAGCTAACTAACGGACAAGAGGCAGAGGGCGGGATACAACCCCTTGGCAACTTGCAACATCTGCTGTTGAGATGTGGTTCATGCTAGGAAGTAACAAGTTGGCCAGCGGCTACAGCCCTTCCACAACCAAATTTGGACGGAATGCTCAACTTTCCAGAGATAAGACGACCAGTTAGCTAGCCACTTTGGGGATATGCTCGTTGACTAACTCGTTAGTTATCTAGCTTTTCCCTTCCATGCAGGTCCGAGAGCATTTGGAGCAGAGCCAGCCGAGCCCATGGATGAAGACACTCCGGCGGTAATATCAAGTGACTTCGCTGCCGCTGCCTTTCCCTCGATACGGATTACCTCTCTCGTTTCTTTTTTCCCTCTTTCTTGATTTTTTTTTTCTTTTCTTTTTAATTATAGATGCAGCTCCCCACCTTGTGTCCGTCACAGGGAGGGGGGATCGAGAGTGATGGTGAGAATTGATTTTGATATAATTGCATCACAGCCTATCCTTCCCTCCGTTTCTTCCGAACTCTCTGACTCCTGCCTCTCCTTTTCTTCTATCCACCTGTTTTGTTTCATTGTCCTTCCTTCAGGGGAACACATTCTCTCATGGCCGTTTGAATAGTTAGTTATAGCTTCAAATCTGTTATGGTTCATGTGCCCTGATTTTCATTCCCTTTTCTTCTTCTACCTCTACCACTTTCAACAGGAGCTGGATTCTCCTATAATACTCTTTTAATTGCAAAATCTGTTTTTAATCTCTAACTTAGCTTTTATCCACTCCTTACTTACGTCTGGGGCCGTCTACATTGATCTGCAGCTCTGTCCTCACCATCCTTCACTCTATACATACATACCCACACGGCATACAAACGAACACCTCTGGCAGGTCCGGAAAATTGATTGATACATACGGTTTTTAATTCAACGAACGCCTTAATTTTGATTCTACCCAGGGCTTGTTGCGGGCATCGATATCCAGTCCATTCCTTAACAATTCAAGACCTATCTACCTAGGTATACATACAAGCCTCTAGAAAGATGTCGACAGGTGAAATCGAATACAGGAGCGCCCTGCAGCAGTATGCATATTTCTTCTATTATATTTTTGGTTGCCCCTTCATGCAGATAGACAAGAAGCCATGGTTGCTGACACTTTTAGGAGCGAATATATCCCGTCCTCACAAGCTCTACCGGATTGTGTGGGTGGACATTTCATCAGACAGGATGGTATACCAGTTGGGCATGGAGGAGTGCATTCCTCCGAATATCCGTGGACGTACCTTCCGATGCCGGTGAAGCAGGAGAGTCATCAGACAAGGCTCTTATATGACAGCATATATTCCCTGCCATTGATGTCTAGTCCTCCAAAATACCAGCCGCAGCTTGCATATGACACGCATGAATCTGATCAAACTCCTTGACACAGAAGTTTGGAGCTTCTGATGGCTGTGTCGGCGCTAACCCTCTACACAACGGTAGGGAAACTGAGTCTGGTGGTTATATTTATCCATTTCTCAGTGCTAGGCTAATCGAAGCAGGTATGTATAAGGGGGATATGGTAGATGATCATACCACGCTTCCATCGCTAGGCTCTGACTTCGCCAATCGAGCATCTTCCGAAGTGGAATCTTTACCCAGCTGGGAGAACTCTCCTAGATCGACCATGGCACAGTTGACCGTGGACACTGCTGTTCCTACCACACAACCGCCATCCGGGTTTGTCTCGGCATCGATGGGGTATAATGACATATCTGCATACTCAGATATGCCCTCATCTTCTTCAGCATTCACTCCTTGCAGCTCACTATACTATTCAAATACGCCACTCTCACCTTCAGCATCACCTCGAAGACAACAGCAGTACTCTGGCTGTCTTGAGGTTGAACTAGGTACCATGGCTGCAACATCACCCGGAGCTCCTCATGCGCGGCAATTAAACACTTACAGTTACGACGCTTGCGGAAGTGGATGGGTAAAGACTTCTTCTACGAATTCAAACTTCGTTCACCAGCCGCACGGTAACGCCGCATTCGCTGAATCTTCTCCTTCGGTGCAGAAGTCAGACCACTACCCGGTCCTCTCGGCGGTAGACACGACTGAGGAGAAGGCAGAGCCAAAGGAAGTAAAGGATACCTTGCCTCCTCCATTGCCTAAACCTCGGGCTAGGGCCAAAGAGCCCAAGTCAGGCATGGCCACCCCGAAGCGCAAAACAAAGCAAGGTGCAGCCCGGAAAGCCTCCGGGAATAAATGTTGTCGAGGGCATCATGATATAGATCACTATTCGGACCTGGCCAATCCTCCTGACCTGCTGGAGCCGTTAAAGGATAACCCATCACAACCACCGCCGGAAGACATGTTCCCGTCTGACCCAATGATGATTCCCCGGGAGCAGGAGCCTCGCTTCGAAGGCGACATGTACACCCCTACCTGGATACGTGGACATGGAAACAAGCGTGAAGGCTGGTGCGGCATTTGCAAGCCTGGACGCTGGCTGGTGCTGAAGAACTCGGGGTATTGGTACGACAAGAGCTTCACGCACGGCATCAGCGCCACCACCGGACAAGCCTTCAGTCCCCCGAAGCACACTCGACGAAGCCAGGGCAATGCAAACATATGGGAGGGTCTCTGTGAAAACTGTGACTCGTGGGTTGGGCTGGTCAGTAGCAAGAAGAGAGGAACGACCTGGTTCCGCCATGCGTATAAGGTTAGTAGCTCTTGCATTCCTCGGGAGGTCCTCGCTAGAAGGATGTCATGTCATGCATCGATCTAACAAGGAACATGGCATAATAGTGTTATAATGGCTGCAGCACCAGCAACAGCAAGGCTGAAGGCACACTAAAGAGACGACGGGCAAACAGTGAGAGCGATGACAGCCGTCCTTCGACTCGACCTAAATAGTGCTCGCATTATGAAGCCATAACATTCCATCCTTTGCCTCCAAAGATCCAGTCATGTCCTAATTCACCATGTTAGCAAACTCGTATCACGACTTTTCTTCCCACTTTTTTTTTATTTTCATGTTTTTGTTCCCCTCTGTTGCTGTTCTTTCCTCCATGTTGAAAAATATTGAACAGGGATTTGCATTCGGGTTCCGGAGTTTCATCGTTCTGCCCTTGTTTTAAGCATCTTCTTCTTTCCCCCTTTCCCCTTCTCGGATGGCTATATTCGTTATAGAGGAGAGCATGTACTCCTTACCTCCTTACTTACTCCGTGCTCCGTACATCATTTTGTGGTTACCCCCGTAGCTGCTGTTGACCAGGGAATAGAAAAAGTCTGTCTTTTTTGATATCACAGCCTTAACGGACGTGCTAAGGGTCCTCCCAACGGCGATGCTGACAGGCCAGCTACCGTCTCCCAGCCTCCACCACCATGCATAAGTGCCTGATAGAGTGAGCAGCAGATGAGGATGAAAAAAAGGGCGCTGGGCCAGTGAGCAGCTCGCCCGCCTGCCTGCTAAAAATCCGTCCACCGTCTCTGCTGATCTTAGTGGTCAGGACACGCCCTGTCCCTGGTCAAACCCTCGACTCAATTCATCTGCCCGCTGTTATTATTATCACCATCCTCTGGCTTGTGTTTTTTTCTTTCTCTCTCTCTCGGGGATCTCAATGTTCAGTAGTTTTTCTACCGCCAACGAAAAACATTGTTCGTTCGTCATCATAGAGACATAGTCGCATGTTTCCTTTCTGCAGGTAACCCCCTGGCCGTCCGTGTCTGCCTATTGGAAGTCGAGTAAAATCGGTGGCTTGGGAGAGGGATCTCGTCTAATTTCATACATCGCAGGTCAGCCTCCCTTAAGAACCTTCTAGCAACTGTTGCTGTTCATCTTTCTGTCTGTCTGTCTGTCTGTCTGTCTGCTCTTTGCTTTTTCCGTTCTTCTCGAGGTTGCTGCTGGCTCTGCTGCGCTGTCTTCATCGTCATCTTCATCGTCTTCATCATCGTTGCCTTCTGCATCAGCTCCGGCTTCAGCTTCAGCGTCTTCTCTCTGCCGTGTGAATAGCCATATATTAGACAGAATATCTATAAGAAACAAGAAAAAGAAACCAAGCAGAAGCCCAAGAGCGAGAGAGCGAGCACCATCCAGCGATGGTTTAACTGCATCTTCTTCTTCTCTCATTCTGCTCTTGTTCTTCTCTTCCTCTTCTTCCTCCGCTGTTGCTGCTGCTGCTGCTGCGTCTTCCATCGACGTCTGTCGTCTTCCATCTTTTATTTTTCTCTCCCACAACTTTTTTCGGAACAACCACAAAAGGAAAAAAAAAAATCTCAAAAAACTTTTCAATGGTTCTCCCAAAATTCTTCAAGTCACAGAAACCCGTCGACAAGAAGAAACACAGGCTTCGTCGTCCGCATCCTCGATCGCGGA